GGGTCTTGAACCCGCGGGCTCAGGCCATCCACTCACCTCAGCCTCCCAAAGGCGCGGGATGACAGGCTGAGCCACCGAGCCCGGCAGTTTTTCTTAAATATTGTTAATTTGATCAACTTTTTCCTTTAAAATGATTATATTAGAGTACTCCTGCTAAATGATTGTTATTGAAGTGACACCAGCCCACAGCTCAACAGCTACTCTTCTTTGGAGAGACTGTAACACTTTGATGTCTTATTTCTAGTAATAGAAATGGACTTTTACCATTTTTGGGACAACGTGCAATTCTGGTGTAGATCACTTAAGAGATAGTGGGACTGTCAGCCCGCGCCTTTGGGAGGCTGAGGTGAGTGGATGGCCTGAGCCCGCGGGTTCGAGACCCGCCTGGGCGGCGAGACCTCATCTCTGCCATAAACCAAAAAACCAGCCGGGCGTGGCAGCGCGCGCCTGTAGTTCCGGCTCCTCGGAAGGCGGAGGCGGGAGGATCGCCGGGGCCGGCGGGTCGAGGCGGCGGTGGCCGGGAGCGGCCCTGCACGCCAGTCTGGGCGACAGAGGGAGACTCCGACTCAAAAAAAAAGAAAAGAAAAAGCGATAGTGGGAACCAGCCTGTCCGAGCTCGAAGACAAGGCGGGCTGTTTGAAGACGTCGGCCCGTGCTTCAGCCACCTGCTCGGCCAGACCTTGAGGGGCGTGGCGTCGCTGGCAAGCTGGCGGCGCCGAGAGGGAAGTGTTTCCAGTGAAGCCAGCACAGAAAGTACAGGGCCGCCCTGAAGAAGGAGAAGCGAAGGAAACGTCGGCGGGAGCTTGCTAGATTGAGAGACTCAGAACTCTCACAGAATGAGGAGGAGGAGGAGGATGCATTTACTGAAGAAAAGCAGCGAGAAGAAGAGAAACTGTTGGAGAGAGAGGGGCAAAAGTTACACGAGGAATGGCCACTGAGGGAGCAGAAGGCACAAGAAGAATTCAGGATAAAGAAGGAAAAGGAAGAGGCAGCTAGCAAATGGCAGGAAGAACAAGAGAGAAAGTTAAAGGAAGAATGGGAGGAACAGCAGAGAAAAGAGAGGAAGAGCAGAAACTACAGGAGAAGAGAGAAAGAGGAAGCTGTGCAGAAGATGCTGGATCAGGCTGAAAATGAGTTGGAAAATGGTACCACGTGGCAAAACCCAGAACCACCTACAGAGTTGAGAGTAGTGGAGAAAGATCGAGCTAACTGTCTATTCTACAGTAAAACAGGAGCTTGCAGATTTGGAGATGGATTTTCACGTAAACATAATCTCCCAACATCGAGTCCTACCCTTCTTATGAGAAGCGTGTTTACAACATTTGGAATGGAGCAGTGCAGGAGGGATGACTATGGCCCTGATGCAAGCCTGGAGTACAGTGAGGAGGAGACCTACCAGCAGTTCCTAGATTTCTATGAAGATGTGCTCCCTGAGTTCAAGAATGTGGGGAAAGTGATTCAGTTCAAGCCGGGCGTGGTGGCTCAAATCTGTAATCCCAGCACTTTGGGAGGTGGAGGCAAGAGGATTGCCTGAGCTCAGGGGTTCAAGACCAGCCTGGGCAACTTGGCAAGACATCATCTGTACAATAAATAGAAAAATTAACCAGGCATGGTGGCGCACGCCTGTAGTTCCAGCTACTTGCCTGAGTCCAGCGGGTCGAGGCTCCAGTGGCTGTGAGCACCGCTGCACTCCAGCCTGGGCAACAGAGTGAGACTCCCACTCAATAAATAAAATACAATTCCAATAAAATAAAATTGTTCCCCCTTAAAAAAAAAGATGTTAGGGATAAAAGTAACAGGTAATTGTCATTTAGTATCTTTATTAAGATAATTGGCTTGTTCATGAAAGGTTCATGCTGTCCTTGAGAACCTTCCGTCTTTGACAACTTGCTTGAGTGATCATTTTGTGTGATAGAGCTCCTTATATAAATTAATGGGATATTGGTATTCATTTCTATGTGTCAGTAGTTATATTTAGTATTTCTTTGCATGTGATGATGAAGAGAATTTCTTGTAGCTATTTGAAGCTTTAAGATTTTCACATCTTTACTTCAGGGAGCTTTTGACACCTCAGCAACATTATGATTGGGGTTTGAGAGCTTTGAAGACAGTTCTAAGAGGAAGTGGAAATCTTCTTAGACAGCTGAAGAAGCTGAAGAAAAATGGCACTAAACAGAATGGTATGAGTGATTATTTCAAGTATAGTAACTTATTTTTAAAAAATGAGTTTAATTTAGACCAGTTTTAGAAAATTACAGTAAAGGTGTAGATATAGTATTAAGGATTTTTGTATATCCTGCTCTTAGTATCTAGTATTGTTAGCATCTTAATTAGTATGATATATTTGTCACACCTGATGAACTAGTTTTGAGAGATTGTTTTAAAACTAATTTCCATATCGCATTCACATTTTCTCTAGTTTTTACCTGACGTCTTACCATAACTTTAAATGTATATTAAATATTAAATAGTTTTAATATGTAAAGTTCACTTGTTCGTTCTTTTTTTTTTTTTTTGAAAGCAGGATTTATTGAGAGGACAGAAAAGCTCCCACAGAGGGAGGGGACCCAAGGGGGTTGCCCAGTTCACTTGCTCTTCAGCATCAGCGCACATTAGAATCACCTAGTGGCTTATTAAAACACAGATTACCTACCCCCAAAGTTTCTGACTCGATAGGTATAGAGTGAAGCCTGAGAATTTGTCTTGTCTTAAAACAAGAACAGAAACCTTAGATACACATGGATTTTTTTCTTCCAAAGAATAGCATATTATCATTAGATGGGGTTATGAGTGTTTGGAAAGAATATCACAGAGGGGGAGTGTCTTTCTTATTGCATTTGATTAGTGGGTACAAGCTAACCACATCACATAACTGGTGAGGGCAACCTGCATCACTTGGCTAGAGTAGTGTTTGCCAGGTTTCTCTACTGCAAAGTTTTTATTTTTCACTTTCCCTGATTTATTTTTTGGAAACATGTTACTAAATCTAGCTTACCCTCAAAATGAGGAGGAAAGGATTAAGCTCCACCCCTTGGAGGGGGCCGTATCTGTATATATTATTTTCTTCACCTGGGAATGTGGACTTCCATGAAAGACTGAGAATAATCAGTCTTTTTCAGTTACTTTTAAAAACTAAGTTAAAACACCATGAAATTAATTAAGAGATAGCATAGAAGAAAGGACTACATGAAATTACCTATGTAGACTTTGTTTATTTTTTGAGTTGTAGTCTCACTTCGTCGCTCAGGCTGGAGTGCAGTGGCATGCTTACGGCTACCCTAGTTTCAGCCTTCTGGGCCCCAGTGATCCTTCTGTCTCAGTCTTCCAGGTAGCCAGAACTACAAGCGTGCACTACCACACCTGGCTAATTTTTTGATTTATTGTAGAGATGAGGTCTCACCCTGTTGCCCAGGCTAGTCTTGAACTTGTGGGCTCAGGCAGTCCTCTCCTCTTGCCCCAGCCCCTCAAAGTGCCTATGTGGACTTTAAATGATTAGAGTATACATCTTAACAGTGGGATCTGCTTCAATTGTATTATGAACTTGGCATATGCCAGAGTAGATTTCGTTATTTTGTAAAGAGCTTAAATTACTATTTTCAGTTATCTGTCTTTGGTGATTTTAAAGAAATATTTGTAGCATACCTATAGTAAATAAAGATGGCTTATGAGTTTAGTGCTTGAAATGAACTCTAGAGCAGTTAAACCTCTTTATATATACACTAGCAATGGAGATGTCAGACAATACAGTTTCTTTGACTTTGTGAATTTATTATCAACCAGCAGCTAATATCCTTGAAAATAAGAGTCTGGCAATATCAGTTTGCATTTGGTTTATGAGTGGTTTTAACATCTGGTTTTGAACAAGAAGGATCAAAAATGCTACTCAGTTTGTTAAATTTTAGTTTCTTTTTACTCTTTGGGAGACAGTATTGTTTATTTGGAGAGAGGCCTGAATCTAGAATTAGTTCATCTGGATTTGAATGCCAGCTGTAATAATGCTGTGCCTTCACAGGCAAGATACTTAACCCTTTAGAGCCTTAACATTCTTATATGTAAAATGGGAATAATAGTAGTAATGCTTTCCCACTTTTTAGAGTTGTTATAAGGCTCATATGACATAATATAAAAGGTGAAGTACTATGCAAATATGTTATAATGATTTTTATTATTAAACTCTGGGGACCATGGGATTCAAATCCTATGGAAAAGGGTCCATAACTCCACTTAGTGATATTTATTTTTCAGCAGTCAAAAGATACTAAGGTAAGCTTGCCAGTTCACATGGCGTATTATGTCTTTAAATGTTACTTAATTCAAGTACGTCATTTAATGGTTACTGCATATCAAGCATGTAGAATACTTAAGGACTTTGTATTATTGTTAAATTGATATTAAGTAACTTTAAAATGAAACTTTTCCTCTAGCTAATGAGAGTCATATTGTGGTCCAAGCATTGAGGCTTAATACAATGTCAAAGCTTACATTTGCTGATTGCACCCGGTTTGATGCATTGATTAAAGATGTCTTTCCTGGAATTGACTTTAAAGAAGTTGAATATGATGAACTAAGTGCTGCATTAAAGCAGGCCTTTGAAGAGGCCAATTATGAAATCATACCAAATCAGGCAAGTGTTAAGAATAGTTTATAATAGATGAGTCCCTTTTGCTAGTTGATTCCTTATTACCTCTTCACCTTTTAACTTATCTTTGATCTTTCAACTTACTTCTCACTCACTTGTAGAAATCTCCCTGACCTAGTTCTGGTGGAATCGTCTTGCTGTGTGCTTTCATTACTCTTCTCGTGTGCACTGACTTAATGTTTATATATGTCAATACTACTGATTCTCTCCACCATATAGTAATCTCAGGAAAGGAGGGTCCATGGATGTTTTTGCTCACCATTTTATTTCTGAGGCCTACCACAGTACCTGGTACATAATAGATCCATCATATATATTTTTAATGATTGATTATATATGATTTAGTTTCACTTTGATACTTTCTTAGGAGAAATTTTTTAAGTGGGTCTCTTTATGTAGCACAAATGTTTCTTCAAAATGAGCACTTTTCCCTCAGAGTTATGTTGGAGAGAGGTAGAATAAAAATGAATGAATGAGCAAATGAGTAAGTGAACAAAATAATGAGTGTATTTTATTGAATGAATGAACAAGGAAAATAATGAACATATTGTTTGTATTGCCAAAAACTTGGAAAGCACCTTTATTTCTTCTAAAGAATATTGAAGAGTTTAAAGATTACATTGTAAATATGTTCAGCTTTACATAGGTATTGTTCTAGTTAAGGCTTGTCTTCTGAAGAAATCAACAGCTTACTTTGCATGTTTGGAATAGAACAACTGTCATAGAATGAGTATGACTGAATGTCACAAATCACATATGAACATTCTTTCCTACTAGATCAAAAAGGCTTTAGAATTGTATGAACAGTTATGCCAGAGGATGGGAGTTGTTATTGTTGGTCCAAGTGGTGCTGGCAAGTCGACTCTTTGGAGAATGTTAAGGGCAGCACTTTATAAAATTGGCAAAGTAGTGAAGCAATATACTATGAATCCCAAAGCTATGCCTAGATATCAATTATTAGGCCATATTGACATGGACACAAGAGAATGGTCTGACGGCGTTTTGACGAATAGTGCTCGCCAAGTGGTTCGGGAACCTCAAGGTTGGTCTCCATGTATAATTCATTGCTTTTGTATGATGGATTATGTCCATAATGCTGTCTTTATCAGTGCTTACATGGGCCCATGATGTCCTTTACGATGATGGACATTTGATATTTTACTTTGGAGGGTACTAAGACATGGTATTATTTTGACTTACACTCTGTAACTACTTCTGTTTATTTATATATCTTTTTTTGAGTTGGTGCTTCACTCAGTCCCAGGCTGGAGTACAGTGGAACAATCTCAGTTCATAGCAGCCTCAACCTCCTGGGCTCAGGCACTCCTTCCACCTCAGCCTCCCAAGTAGCTAGTACTGCAGGCATGTGGCACCATGCCTAGCAACTTTTAAAATTTTAGTTTTAAGTTTTGTAGTGATGAGGTCTCACTATGTTGCCCAAGCGGGTCTCAAAATCCTGGACACAAGCAATCCTCCCATCTCTGCCTCTCAGAGTACTGGGATTACAGGTGTGAGCTATCATGCCTGGCCTCTGTATCTACCTTTAATATGACAGAAACTCAGAGTAAGTTTGGTGAATCATAAATCACAGCTAGATTAATTTGCTGAATAAATATAAAATCTTTACTGAGTTGTTTTTATCATTCCGCATAAATAAATAAGATAAACTTTTGTTTGGGGTTAAAATTGGTGTGTGTTTGTGTGTAAACACTATTAACTCATCAGTTTGAATACAGTATTTGGAATAATTTTGAAAATTTAAGTGGTAAAACAATGGAATTCTTGGTCTAAATTTGTTCATTTGATTTTTAAGAGAATTTTTGGCTGGAATCAGAGATGATGCCCTACTTTTTGCCAGGTTATCATTTAGTTAATAGCTATTTTCTATGGCAGTTAAAGGCTTAGAGCTCTAAGACACTGAGAGATTAAAAAAAAAAAAAATTTTTTTTTGACATAGTGATTCACTCTACTACCCAGGCTAGAGTGCAGTGTCATGATCACAGGTTATTGCAGCCTTAAACACTTGAACTCAAGTGATCCTCCTGCCTCAGCCTCCTGAGTAGTTGTGACTACAGGCATGTACCACCATGCCTGGCTAATTTCTCTTGACATTTTTAACATAATATTTTCTTTTTCTGCATAATATCACATTAAGTAAAGGCCAGATATCACCTTTCACGTGTTTCTCACCCTTTTATTGGTGAATTTCCTCTTTGAATTGTTTCAAAGGTCCAAATACAACTTGAACCACTCCCATTTTAGGAAGGATAGATAAAAAAGGTTTTTATCTGGAATGACTGTGTATGCAAATGGTTACTGCTTTTCCTCCTTTGAGGTTACCTTCTTGTATAGCAAAAAAAAAATTTGACTGTGGTAAATCTTCTATTTCTCATGTAGGGCACTAAATATTGGATTTCCTGTATTTTCTAAAAGAGATTACATCTCAAGCATTCTTTACGTTCTCATGACATAGTAAAAGATAAAGGTCTGGAGAATATCTAATAGGTATCTCATAGGAATCACATTTTCCTTTAGTGAGGTTACCAATTCTGTATGTTTATAGAGAAATTAATTATTATCACATGGTATATAACTGAGTCCTTGGCCAGCTGAGTCAGGGTTGCCCATGGGTTTGCCTACACATTTGTAGCATAAATTCACATGAGAATTTTCAGCCAGTTCAACTTTTTGGTCTTGATATTCAGCTTCAGTAATATGAAATAATATGTGCTTGTGGAAATCACTTCAAATTATTGAGATACCTAGTTTATTTCTTCTTTTAATTATTACCACTGCATATATTTTTACTTTATCTCCACTATTTTGCCTTGAAAACAGATGTCAGCTCATGGATAATCTGTGATGGTGATATTGACCCCGAATGGATAGAATCCCTGAATTCTGTTCTGGATGATAATCGACTGCTCACTATGCCCAGTGGAGAAAGGATTCAGTTTGGCCCAAATGTGAACTTTTTATTTGAAACGCATGATTTAAGTTGCGCCTCACCAGCCACAATATCTAGAATGGGAATGATTTTTCTTAGGTAAGCCAAACGGCAGTTATGTATAATTATACTAGAATATTCTTCAATTATGACCCTGGTTTCAGAGCTAAATAAAATAAGAGTAGTATGAATAATGAATAAATATTTCTTTCCCCTGTTTATTTATTTATTTATTTTTTGAGTTGGAGTCTCACTCTGTCGCCTAGATTGGAGTGCACTGGCCGCTCCCGGCCACCACAGCCTTGACCTGCTGGGCTCCAGCGATCCTTCCGCCTCAGCCTTCCAAGTAACTGGAACTACAGGAGCACGCTACCATGCCCAGCTAATTTTTGTTATTTATTGTAGAGATGAGGTCTCGCCAAGTTGCCCAGACGGGGTCTCGAACTCGTGGGCTCAGGCAATCCACTCACCTCAGCCTCCCAAAGCATGGGATGACAGGCTGAGCCACCAAGCCTGGCTCCCTGTTTATGATTAACTGCTTTCTTTTAGCTTTCAGTCAGTGCTCCTGCTTTATTACAAAATTGAATTATTTTCGCAGTTTAGTTGTATCACTGTAACTTACTATTTTTGTTTGTTAAAGTGTAGCAGCAAGTATCCAAATTGTTTTCTTTTTTCTATTTTCTTTAAATATTATAATTGGCTTCAGAGAAACTAGAGGCTATTAGTGTAAGGCTAAGTAGCAATAGTTTAATCAGAATCATTGATTCATAGAATTTTAGGGATAACTCAGATTTAATAGGTCATACGGTCCAACATTTTCATTTTACAAATTAAAAACCTTTTTACTTAATATTGTCTTTCTTTAGTGTGTTTGGAAGAGGCTTAAAGAGTGAAAATGAACAATGAACTCATTTTAGATATCATATACAATAGTCACATAATGGAGCATGGACATTTGAACCAATTTTATTTCCTAAAATGAGTAATATTTTGGCATAAATAAGAAAGTTTTATTTTACTTTTTGAATGTATCATTTGCCATCCTATATAAAGTGACTGCTTTTGGGTCGTTTGAAGCCATTTTCATTGTTGTATGACACGTGACAGTGTAATCATGTTGGTTCAAATTGTGGTTTTAAATGATTTAATCGCTTCTTTGGAGGTATTGTAGGAAACATATTAAATTAGGCATGAACTTCAGTTTCTATTTTGAGGTATTGATTATTTAAAAAATATGATTTGGGGTTTAGAGCTTTCATGGCAACATTCATACACAATTTATCATACTTATTTTATATATGCTTATAATCTTATAAAAAATAGAGTAAAGGTCAGTATTAAATTTTAAGATATTTGTTAGAGATTATGTATATGGCATTAAGTTGAGCACTTTAGGAATACAGCTAGAAAAGAATAAAGTTAACATTTATTGTCTTTTTTAGGAAGTACCTTCAGGTAGAGGTGACAAAATAAATAACAATTATACAAGATAGAATATAAATGAAATAAGCAGTAAGTAGAATGCCGCAGATATTTAGCAGAAAAAAAGGACCACATATTGCTGTAGAGGATTTCAACATTGTTGTTGAACCAGATATTGCTTGAGAGAGGCATAATGAATGTTATGTTTTCATGTAAAATAAAAATATGTATTAACTTTCTGCTATGTGTTTCATTTATACCTTAGTTTTAGGTTTCATTCATTCCTTTGGCAGATATTTGTTGAGCACCGTTAAGTGATAGGCCAAATGGGGACCTTTGTAATAGTGAAAGAGAGTGCTATTTATTGTGCTGGGACAGCTAGTATGAAGCTAGGTTGTCTTGGATAAAGCAAGACACACAGTCTCCATAGGCATTGAGAGGATACCATTGATAAGAAAGTCTTTATTCTGAAGGATCGTAGAGTCTTAGGTTTGGCTGCTTTGGACTAATCTAATGTAATTTAATTGTTAACCTTGGATCTTTCCATTTTTCTTTTCCAGACTGGATAGAAAATGTGAGAGGATAAATTCAGGGGCTCAGTATTAACTCATTTGCTATAATAAGATGTTATTTTGAATATGATGTGAATATTTTATCTAACTTCAGCCATGGATTTTACTCGTATAGTTACGTGTTTTGCTAGAATTCTGTTTTACTTCAGGAAGATTTTTACATTTTAATAGTGGCATCTAGGTACTTGAATTTTATGGGATAGAGAAAAAATATTTTAAAGATCTACATCACCATTTAGACCAGTGCATCTTAAACTCTCACGTGCATTTGAATCATCTGGGTATCTTGTTAAAATGAAGTTTTTGCTTTAGTAGGTCTGGTGTGGGACTTGGGATTGATTCCACATTTCTTACAAGTAGAACACTCTTTGAGGAGGAAGGGTTTAGACCTCTTTAGGCTAACCTGTAGATATGTAATTCTTCTTTAATTTATATTTATGATAGATGAAATTTGTTTTATTTTATAGAAAATGGCATATAGTGTGTATATACCTATATGTCTGTATATACACAGCAGTAACTGTATAATATATACATATACATACAGAAGTAACAAAAGTCAACTCTTGTATGCTAGCAGTACCATATATGTGTGGAATCACATATTGGAACAGAAATTTAATTGAAAGTATATTGACAATTTCTTCTCCAATAATTCTTATGTGTTTGTGTTTGTCTGTTTCAGTGATGAAGAGACAGATCTTAATTCTCTGATAAAATCTTGGTTGAGGAATCAGCCTGCTAAATACAGGAGTAATCTTGAAAATTGGATTGGAGATTATTTTGAAAAGGCATTACAGTGGGTTCTAAAGCAGGTAAATTAACAATAGATTTCATAAGTAAGGCGAGAAGTATAATGATTAAGACTGTTATTCGCATTTAGCTGCCTTGGGGAAGAGCTATACAGGGACTCTGTTTATCTTTTTTTAAATACCTAGTACCACATACAGATCCTAATGTATGATTGAATCTCAGTAAATATCTATGCAAAGACTGAGAACCATTTTCCCCCTGAACTCCCTAGCACTTACCAGGAACCCCAGAGGAGCCTGCAAATCAAGCCATCTATGCCACTTAAGTTCATAAGCTTCATTTTAAAATTCTACTTACAGAGAAAACTCCAAAGCGTTTTTCATTGAAGCCTGCATTTTCTCACCTTTCTTTTCCAGTACTATCAATCCAGCCCTTGCCTGTAGTTGCCTTTTTCTCAGCAAGAGGAAGTAAATATTTACACTTTCCGGACCAAGCCTAACTCTCTTACCTTTTCATATTCTTCAGGTTCAGGAAATAAATTAAGCTGTGTATCTATTTGAGGACTTTAGCACTTATAACTAGAATTATACAATTGTGTTTTCATGATTACTTTTTATTTTCAAAATAGATATGTACATCTAATGAAATCCCAACTTTCTACAATTTGAATAGAAGGATAAATTTAAAAGTGTTTTTTTAAAAAGTGGTTCTTGAAAAGATATTTGAACATCGGTCTTTATGCTTCTAAGTTTACTGGTTAATATTTGCCTTGTGTCTGTCTGTATCCTGAATTTTAACCAACAGAATGACTATGTGGTAGAAACAAGTTTGGTTGGGACTGTGATGAATGGTTTGTCACATCTACATGGATGCAAAGATCATGACCAATTTATCATTAGTCTCATAAGGGGACTTAGTGGAAATCTAAACATGAAATCACGTTTGGAATTCACCAAAGAGGTAATGCATATTTAAAATCTGTATTCAGCCAAAGTTTAACTTTTCCTTGACTTTTAACTTTCAAAATACAATTATTTGTAACTGTAAGGTATAGAACTTTTAAATTTTGAAATTAGGTATTCCGTGAAATAGTAATGCATTTATATATGTGTGTGTTTATGTGGGGGTGCCAAAAAATGTATGTATGTTTAAGAGATGTTATCTGGCTGGGCGTGGTGGCTCAAGCCTGGAATCCCAGCACTTTGGGAGGCTGAGGTGAGGGGATTACCTGAGCCTACATGTTTGAGACCAGTCTGGGCAACTTGGCGAGACCTCATCTCTACAATAAGTCAAGAAATTAGGCGGGTGTGGTAGCGCATGCCTGTAGTTCCAGCTCCTTGGAAGACTGCAGCGGAAGGATCGCCTGAGCACAGCAGGTCGACGCTGGGGTGGCCATGAACGTGCCCCTACACTCTAGCCTGGGGAAGGAGTGAGAGTCCACCTCAAAAAAAAATAGAAATGTTATCTATGTATTTCTTTGAGTTCACTCTAATCAGAAGTGTCTGGATGTTGATGGTTACCACTTTGAGTATTTCTTATAATTGCAGAAGTCAAACGTGACTTGTATATTCATCTTTTGTTATCAGTATATATTGAGTATTACAACTTTAATAGTTTTTTCCTTTCTTAAAATGTATATACATTTTTTGGCACCCTCTGTATATATTCTACATATATTTACATACAACACACAGACACACACCACACTCTCTCTTATGGTCTCCTTTGTTTTTTTTTTTTTCTTTAGAAAGCAGGATTTATTGAGAGGACAGAGCAACTCCCCCAGTGGGAGGGGACCTGAAGGGATTGCCCGGTCTCTTTTGAACTCGTTTGTTTATTTATTTATTTAGAGTCGGGGTCTCACTCTGTTGCCTAGGTTGGAGGGCAGTGGTACCATCACAGCTCACTACAGCCTTGACCTTCTGAGCTCAGGTGATCCTTCTGCCTCAATCTCCTGAGTAGCTGGGACTGCCACATTTGGCTGGTTTTAAAATTTTTTGTAAAGCACCTGTCTTGCTGTGTTACCCAGGCTGGTCTGGAACTCCTGGCTTCAAGCAGTCTCTCTGCTTTGGCCTCTCAATGTGCTGGAATTACAGACATGAGCCACCACACCTGTCTAGTTATGACATTTTATGATATTTAAAATTTTATATAATAAGCTAAAGATTAAACCATATCCTTTTTAAGGAAGAGGTTTTTGAACCTGCTTAACTATATTTATAATGATTTCATTCATTTTTAATCATAGAATATTATAGTTTTTATTATTTTTTTAGCTAGAACAGTTTTAGTAATTAGGAATGCTCAGATGAATTATTAATTAATAAATATTTTCTTTAATACATGTAAAAGTTGTGTTTTAGCCAAGTGGCTTATAAAGCTGAATCCTTCGTGATAATTTTTTTCTACTATTGACCTCTATAGAAATAATTGACCATATATATTCCTTTGGGTTGGAACCAACGTTCTGTCTCAGCTTTTTTTCTGTCTCGTGTCTTTGATGCATTATTTCTTGCCTTCTTGCTTCTGTTTCGTTTTCCGTGGCTATCCTGTTGACTGTTGGCAGATGCTTCTCAGTGTTACCACTCAGTGCCAGACCATATGCTACTTTCAACAGATACTCACTTGTTGAAGTTCAGAATAAAAGTATTGAAAAGTAGTGTCAGGGGCTACCTCTGCTTTAAATCTGCACAGATAAGAGTTATCAGTATTAGAAGGAAGAACAGGTTGACAGCAGTGGCGGTGACACTGGAATGGACAGTATCAGAGTATGCTAGAAACGAAGCACTTTAGAATCCCTGTGTTCTGTAGTTGGTGACTTAATGTTTGTAAGAACGCCATTAAAAAGGAAGATATTTATACCTTGGTGTATAAATAAATATCCTCCATCTCATTATTCTCTCTATATAGTTTTATTTATCTATTTAAATGATAATTGAGAGAAAGATATTTTATATAAAATGTTACCTTAATTATAAAGTAGGTTTAGTGTATGTGAACTTTTTTTTTTCCCCCGAGTTGGAGTCTCACTCTGTTGCCCAGCCTGGAGTGCAGTGGCCACTCCCGGCCACCGCAGCCTCGACCTGCTGGGCTCAGGCGATCCTTCTGCTCAGTCTTCCAAGTAGCTGGAACTACAGGCACATGCTACCATGCCCGGCTGGCTAATTTTTTGATTTATTGTAGAGATGAGGTCTCGCCAAGTTGCCCAGGTGGGTCTCGAACCTGCGGTCCCAGGCAATCCACTCACCTCGGCCTCCCAAAGTGCGGGATTACAGGCTGAGCCACCGAGCCCGGCCGTGTGAACTTTTTAAAAACTAAGATGTTTCACTTTTGAGATGTTTACTTTGAAGAACTAAGTAATTTCACGCACTCTGGAATACGGAAAACTTGACACAACTTTTTCTCTTGAGGTGTTTAACTGGGCACGAGAATCTCCTCCAGACCCTCACAAACCAGTGGACACCTATTATGACTCTGTAAGGGGACGATTAGCATCTTATGTGCTGAAGAAGCCAGAGAATTTGACTGCGGATGATTTCAGTAATGGCCAAGCTCTGCCCGTCATCCAGACTCCTGACATGCAGCGAGGTCTGGATTACTTCAAACCCTGGTTGAGTTCTGACACTCAGCAGCCCTTTATTCTTGTAGGACCAGAAGGATGTGGCAAAGGGTAAGACACATATCGACGTGGGTGTGTATTGTGGATTTATTTTCCTCCTTCCCCAAATGATTTAACAGCTTTTGTTATGTTTCTTTTGGTTAAGGTATCATTTGCATTTTCACGGAGGACTCTTTTCATTTTTATTACTTGTAAAAATAATGGCTATGGGGAAGAATGTATCCTTTTCTCCGCCGGGTTATATGGAAAGGGCAATCGGAGAAGATACTCTTACAAAGAATCTGTGCATATACTCACAACAAAAAAATCTAATACCTTAGGTATACTCACAGATTGTCATTTGCTTTAATTATAAAATGTAGATTGTGACGTTCTCTCTCTCTTTAAAAATAGCTTTTGAGGTGAGTGGATTGCCTGAGCCAGCGGGTTTGAGACCCGCCTGGGCAACTTGGGGAGACATCTCTACAATAAATCAAAAAATCAGTCAGGCGTGGTAGCGTGCGCCTGTAGTTCCAGCTACTTGGAAGGCTGAGGCGGAAGGATTGCCGGAGCCCAGCAGGTCGAGGCTGAGGTGGCCGGGAGCGGCCACTGCACTCTAGTCTGGGCGACGGAGTGAGACTCCAACTCAAAAAAAAAATGAAAAATAGCTTTTAATTCAGTGAGGTTTAGCTCAGTTTTAATGCCTGGGGAGCATAGTGTTTTGAAATGTGGAAGCCATGGATTAGTAGATGCACATTTCTAGCGGGAGAGTCCTAATTTTAAAAATCTTATCAAATCATAGTAATTTTTTTTTTTTTTGAGTTGGAGTCTCACTCCATTGCCCAGGCTGGAGTGCAGTGATATGTTCATGGCCACCCCGGCATCAACTTGCTGGACTCTGGTGATTCTCCTGCCTCAGTCTTCCAAGAAGCCGGAACTATAGGCATGTGCTACCATGCCCAGCTAATTTTTTGATTTATTGTAGAGACGAGGTCTCGCCAAGTGGCCTGTGCTGGTCTCAAACCCGTGGGCTCAGACAATTCTCTCACCTTGACCTCCCAAGTAATTTTTTTTTTTTAACTAGGACAACTTAAAACTTGTTCCTCAACGTGGAGAAACAGAGTTGGCATAGTCTATATGTACTTAATCAAACTAGAGTACTACTGAGAACTTTGATTATTTTAGCTGAAACAGTCCCAAGATACTTTAAATATGAATTTATTTTTTTCCAGTCTGAAAGTTACTTTAATAGTTATGGAAACCATATGTTTGCCATTTCCCCCCTAAATATTAGCATACATATTTAGAAATTAAAATATTTATAGGACAGAAATTTTGTATTGAACATAAAATTTATTTTGTTGGCTACATTTTCATGCCGGTCAAATGTCATCTCTCACAGAATGCTGCTCAGGTATGCCTTTTCCCAGCTCCGGTCCACTCAGATTGCTACAGTTCATTGTAGTGCGCAGACGACTTCTCGGCATCTCCTGCAGAAACTCAGCCAGACTTGCATGGTAATCAGCACTAACACGGGCCGCGTGTACAGGCCCAAAGATTGTGAGAGGCTTGTTCTGTACTTAAAAGATATCAACCTGCCCAAGCTTGATAAGTGGGGGACCAGTACTTTGGTGGCTTTCCTACAACAGGTAGGTCCTTTCACTTGAGGTGTTTTAATGGGATTGGGAGCCATTTAATTTCATTCACTTTTCTTATAGATAGAAAATGTGCTTTCCTCCTTCGGGGCCACTTTTATCTAGCATGTATCATGGAAATTAAATTTCTGAAACATTTCAGTCTTGTTCCAGTTCTACCTTCTTTGGTTTTCCTTTCCTAAGAATTAGTATTACATCAAGGTGTGTATGACAGGGAGAGAGGAAACACCTTTTCCTCCATTACCTGTTCTTGTTTCTAAAATAGGAGAAAAGCAGAAGCTGGGGCAGTGCTGGAGTTGGGGTCATTTCTGCTTCATTTTTTCAAGTGTGTACTCTTTTGCCAGCAGTTCAACTTAGCCGTGCTTTCTTTCTGGCTGCTTTAGCCCATCATTCTCCTTCTTTGCCTGTATGAGGATTTGAGATCAGACGTTCTCAGTCGGCATGGAAGACTTTTTTTTCTTTTAGGTTATTTATATTACTTTAAAAACTTCAAATTCTTCATGCTTTTTTTGATATAGGTCCAATTTAGCTTTACTGTGTGTCTGTAGAATATAATGAAAATATTTATATACAAAAACCAAAATTTTTTCTTAGATTTTTTTCTGACCCTTTTCATTTTTTTGGAATAATTACTAGTAGATTTATAATATAATATGAATTTTAGTGTTTATTGTAGAGGAAAGCATTTTATGAACTAGGATAACAAAGCTGACATCGATAGAAGACAGAGATTTGAACAATATTATTTTTCCAAGGTAAAATAATTTTAGATATATTTTAATCTTCAGTTCTTGAGTTAGGAGAAGCTGATGATTGATGATTGCAATAATGGAAACTTGGGCCAAAGTACTTTTTTAGAATCATCGTTAGAGAATTTTAAGTTTGCAACATTTAAGCTGTATTTCCGAATAGGTGCTGACTTATCAAGGATTTTATGATGAAAATCTGGAATGGGTTGGCCTAGAAAACATTCAGATTGTGGCTTCTATGTCTGCTGGAGGAAGACTGGGAAGGCACAAGCTTACGACCAGATTTACTTCTGTTGTTCGTCTTTGTGCTGTAGAGTATGTATCCTGGTGTTTTAAAACGTTTTGATTTGATGATGCATCATGTATAACTGCATTGTGTTGAAGGCATCTGTTAATGATACGTCCTTGAAATGTAGATTGTAAAAATGGTCAAACTTAAGCTCTAATATTTTTTCTTACCCTTCTCAAAGTATTGGCAATAATTTAGAACATTAAAGGCTTTAATCAAAGCATCTTATTTATTAGAAAGATGTATGGAAAGAAAGCAGAACTGTTTTGTATGGTTTCTGTTTTAAAATTTCTATATCAGGAATCTGAATGGTGGATTTTAGATTTAAATGTTTTATGCATTTCATAAAGCAAAAATACTGTCAAATTTTGTGATGATAACCAAAAAGACAATTTAAATCGGAACAAGGGAGAGTTGGGTAGTTTTGATGACTGATGGCATCAATCCTAATACATCCATCCATCTCTGTGGTGCATAAGTGTTACATGAACTCCTGAATTTTCTGGTTCATTCACTGTTTCCTCTGTTTGTATTGACTATACAAATCTTGGATTACAAATCTTTGAATATCACAAAACCTTGTTTTTATGCTTCTGTGTTAATTGTGTCCTCCATCAATTAACCTTCTTTTTGCAGAAGTGTTCTTGCCACAGATCAAACTGTATTGAAATACATTTGGGTTTAGGAAAAATGGGTTGATTTTATTTGTTGTATTAGTTTTATAGTATGTATTAACTTTTATAGTTCTGGGGTAGATTACTGTCCTATGTATAGGCTGTTTTTTTTCTTAAGTAAAATGTTCCTTTAGACCCTTTCAATTATGTTTTAAAATAATTTCTTTAGAGTCCTCTACTAGGACCCCGACTGAGTATTTGACAGTTGACACTTAGGGACCTAATTTAGTTGAAGTGAGAATAGGGACATGAGACTGGCTTCAGCCCTTGAGTAAGCCTCAGATATGTAGGTTACAGAGCAGCACAATTTGAAAACCACTGCTGTAATTTAACATTGAAATAATAATTTAGAATATAGATTTTTTAGCTTTATTCTTTCTTATATGCCCTTTTTCAGTTACCCAGAGAGAGAGCAATTGCAGACAATTTATGGATCATATTTGGAACCAGTTCTACACAAAAATCTGAAGAATCATTCTGTTTGGGGTTCTTCATCAAAAATTTATCTCTTAGCTGGATCTATGGTACAAGTATATGAACAGGTAATTGCATTTAAACTGTAGCTTTCATGTCTGTTAGTATCATTCCCACAGGACAACCTGTAATCCTCACCTCTGTGCTGATGCCTGGGCGTTCCTTTCTTGCTGCTTATTAGACTTTTTTTTTTTTTTACTAGAATACAGGCTGTAGGTGTACCTTATTTGTGATTTAACCATGGCACAGTTTCTAATAGGCACTCAATAAATATGTATTGGATGAATGAATTTGTGGTGTATGGTTATTCTGCTATCAGCTCAAATTTAGCATATCTAGAATGGAGCTCATCTTTCTCCTGGTTAGGCTTTGACACTGGGAGTACATGTTGATGTTTATTTCTTTCATGTCACCTGTGAGGAAATATCCAAAGTATTCTTCCTTATAAAGTGCAGAAGATACTTGAAAATAGGCATTGAGGATACACAAGGGATTTGTGGAGCGCCTTCTCTTGTCAATGGTAGTCCTAGGGATGTCAACACCACTGAGTCTCTCTTCTCTGGAAGTTCACAATCTAATGAGGGACTGAGTCATGTAAATAAATTGTTAATCCAGTGTGATAAATGTAACATGTACAAGTTACAGAGGTATCACAGAGAAGGGAATAAATAACTTAGTTGTGATGGTAGTTGTTGAGGAGGAGGTAAAATTTGATCTGAGTTTTGAAAAATGAATAGAAATTCACAAAATGACTGGAGATGAAAGTTCTTTCTAGGTAAAGGAAACAGCGTGTGCAAGTTATCCAAGTGTTTGTAGAAGATGCTTCTTATGGTATTGGGGTAGAAGTGGAGACAGGTGGTTAAACCAAGATGTTCCTTTTCTTAAAAAATGTAAAAGATGACAAGTGATCAATCAGAATAAGAGAAATGGCTCTGTCCACAGAGAGGAAGGGGCAGGCACTTTACTGTTTGTGTACTGAGGAGAGGTGCTTTGACTTATTCAGGGACATGAGTCCTGAACCATGTTCACCCAGACCTGTGAGTGTCTTGGACTTGCAACTGTCATTTTTATAAAGTTTGGGTTTTTCTTGAATTCCTTTTTTTTTTTTGCCATGGACAATCTTGGCCATCTGGTGAAGCTTATAAATCCTTTTAGAATAATATTTTTCAGTGCATAAAATATAAATATAAAGATATTAATGAAATCAATTATATTGGAGTACTGTTCTACCCACAGGTAGAAATGGGTATTCCTCAAGTCTAAGGTGATTGAAAAATGTATAGCATGATTATTTGTTTAACACAGTAGAAAGATAGTTTACTATATTTTCTTTTTCAGGTGCGGGTCAAATTTTCAGTTGATGATTATAGTCACTATTTTTTTACTCCCTGCATTCTTACCCAGTGGGTTCTTGGCTTATTTAGATACGATTTAGAAGGAGGTAAGTCTAACTACTGTGTCTCTCTGTGTGTTGTGTGCATTATACTATACAAGTATTATAGCAGTAATTATAATGTTTTAAGATTATGATTAAACCGATAATATGAGTATTACATTTAAGTGTTACTATTAAAATTAGGATATTTTATTACGTTTCTTCCAAACTATGTATGATTGTCATGATTAAAACAATTCTTGGAAAAATGAAGTCATTATTCTTTGTAACCAAAGCATGTCTAATATATTTTCTGGAATTATTTTTTTATTGAACAACTAGAGATAATACTGTTTATTGTAGCCTTAAAGTAATCATAAAAATGTACCAACTCATTAACAAAATGACTTTTACCTTTTTTTCCTTTTCTTCTATTATCTGATGCCAAAATTATGGTATGTAGATTTCTACTCTTTATTTCCTTCTCATATGTTAAGCAGACCATTTAAAAATCATTTGAGTTTTATTACAATTAAAGAAAATTTTGCCTTTTTTAGGATCGTCAAACCATCCACTAGATTATGTGTTGGAAATTGTAGCATATGAAGCACGGCGCTTATTTCGTGACAAAATTGTTGGTGCAAAGGATCTTCATTTATTTGATAGCATTTTGATGTCAGTGCTTCAAGGAGATTGGGGCTCGGATATACTAGACAATATGGCAGGTAATATAATAGAGTTAATGTACATGTATAATTGTTATGAGAGCTGTACAATTAGTTTTCCTACCTGTAGCATGATTTTATATGTCTAAACAAATAGAAACTTCAGATAATTTTAATGTTATTTTTTCCATAAGGGATTACTTGATCTTTTTTGCTGGTTTTCAGTCATTATATTTCAAATTAAATATAATGACAATACTTTTCTTCTTGGCAAAAGAGGAGATTAGGCCATATTGTTTTATATTTGTAGTGCAAAATTATTTTAATACAAGTTTTTAAAAATAAAAAACCAGTTATATTTGTATGAAACTTAAATATCACTGGGAAAATCTGTATTTGATTGTAATGACCTTTTGCTTAAGAGTAATGGCTGTTCTTATTCCTGCACTACCCATGATGTCATTAGCACAGAACTTGCATGTCTTGTTACTGACTTCATCTGTTGTTATGGTAAAGAAAGCATAACACCATTCAGCCAAAGTGGCTGTGTTGGCATTTGCAGCTATTACTGCTAAATAGCCAATTTGCATTTTGAAAACTGTCATGAGAGTAATGCATGTAACATAAAAATCATGATAGTGAAAGGGCCTTTGGTAAAAGAAGACCACAGTATGGAAATATTTCCTAATAAAACTGCTGTCAGGCTTCAGAATGTGTTTATTACTTCAGAGTGTACAGCTAGGAGTCAAAAATGTTTCATACACGTTTTATATATTATACGTTTCTAGATCAATATGGGTTTCAGGACCATTTACTTATGCCAAAGGGAACCTTGGAGGTGGGAAGGATGTTGAGATGGACAGAAGGAATTTTCTAGGTGCTGTCAGAGTTATAAATCAGAAAGTAAGTTTAAGAGAACCTCAGGCAGGATGAAATACTGAGAGAAGCCTGATAATAGTTCAGAGTTGTCTTGATTCAGAGTGTGAGTTTATGTCATTATGTAGCTTTCCTGGCTTCGTGTGGAGAGACTTCGGTTCTTCAATGCTGCCATCTTTCTCGGGCTAAAAATTGAGTCAGCAGTTTTCTTCTTGCAAAGAAAGTGACATATCCTTTGGGATATGTAGTATTAGATAGTACTGGCACCTTACTGGATGTGTAGATCCTCTAGAGTTTGTTATCTTTTGGAGTCCTCTATGTAAGAATCACAAAGTGATGTATGCCTTTTGTTGGGTATTTTACTCTTCATTGAAGGTTTTTTGTTTGTTTGTTTTTTAACAAATACAGGTTTTGCATGTTAGATCTAGATACAAGGGATTTTCACATAGTGAAAAATGAGTAAGAAAAATTTAATCTTGGAGACATAAAAATAAAATAGATAAATTCTTGTCCTTAAGAAGCTTGTAATCTAATGGCAGAAACAGATAGGAAAGTCTTTGCTTACATGGTAACAGTTGCTAGTGTGTTTAGATGCCACTAAGATTTGTAGAAGTAGATGGTAAAAATGGGAATTATAATGAAGCATGACATGTTTCATAATTAATATAACTTTTTTTAATGTGTTTGGGATAAATGCTAGATAGTATGGTTGTAGAAGAGGGGAAGACTGATTCTTTTTTGAGGAAGTTGCATTGACACTTTTTTTTTTTTAAGGCTAGTCTGTTGAAGCAATCAGAGTGCACGACTTCTAAAATTAAACTTATTCTTTTGAGATAATTTTAGATTCACATGCAGTTGTAAGAATTAATACAGAGAGAGCATATATACCTTTTATCTGGCTTCCCCTAATGCTAACATCTGGCCAAATTATATATCCTCACAGCCAGGTTATTGACACTGATACAGTTATGATACCACAGGACCTATCTTGTTGCTCTTTTGTATTAATAGACATACACACCTCCCTCTTATGGTTCTGGAAACCACTAATCTGTTCTTTATTTCTTTAATTTTTGTCATTTCAAGAATGTTATTTTTACTCCACATGTTTTTCTGGAGACACATGTGACCATTTCTTTAACCATTCTACCAAGGGACATTGACACTGCTTTTAGTGTTTGGAGTAGAGCTGCTATCAATATTCAGGTACAGGTTTTTGTGTGAAGCATACTTTTCCATTTCTCTGAGGTAAATGCTGGGGAGTGCAGTTGCAGGGTTGAGGGTACTTGTACGCTTAGTTTTCTTTAAAGCAACTGCCAGGCTGTTTAGTTTTAGAGTGGCAGTTTCTTCTCATCCTTGCCAGCGTTTGGTGTTGTGGCTATTATTCATTTTTGCCGTGTTACTAGTGTGTTGAATGTGTCATTGTGGCTTTCATTGCATCTTACTAATGGCTAGTGAAGTTGAGCATATTTTCAGGTACTTGTTTGCCATCTGTATATCGTTTTTGGCGAAATGTGTCTTCATGTCATTTTCTGATTGGATTTTTCTTGTTTTTACTGTTGAGATTTGAGAATGTTTACCTCTTGGAAATACTCGTCCTTTGCTGGATATAATCTCCCTCTCCGTAGCTCATCTCTTCATGCGGTCCTTTTTCTCTTAATAAGGTCTTTCACATATATGCGTCCTCTACAAGTGCTTGTGCTTTTGTGTACTGTACAGTACTATACAGAGGACAGTGTCTTTATTTCAAGCCCAGGATATCTGAAAGCAAGAAGCGGTGATGTGGCTGGTATTGTATAACCAACTGTGCTAGTTGGGTACCTAGGCTAACTTTGTTGGATGTAAAGAACAAATTGGACTTAGAAAACGCTCTTGGAACGGAACTTGTTCATATATGGGGGACTCACTGTATGAAGAGACTGGAGCTTGGGAGACTTGCCTAGAGATAAATTGTGGATGAGTTTTTTGTCTGTAATGGTTGATAATTTAGCCCACAGGAAAATATTAAATAATTCGTGGTTAAAATAATACAAGGCTGAATTTGGATCCTGGGGAACATCAGTACATTAGGGATAAGCAGAAAACTGGAAAAAAGACCAGTGGTTGTGTCTTGATGGGTAGGGTGATGTAGATGCAAGGAGAAACACTTTAAGAAGGAGGTGCACAAAGGTCATGTTGGGGCCGTGACTTCAAAGAAGTTTGGATTTGGAGAGTTGGGTGTATTGTTGTTTTCAAATAAGAGTTTTAGTAGAGTGATTTCTATAGAAAGAAAATAATGTAAGAAACGTGATGGTGAAAGAAAGGAGAGGAACACGAAGTAGCCTGGGTCTACAGAAGGTAAGGTTGTTATTTTAGGAGAGTAGAGCTGAGCATGTGACTGAGACACTTGACGGAGCCATCTTTCAGAAGAGTTGGACGGGGAAAGGTTCAGGAGATGGTGGATAGATTTTCCTTGTATGGTAACTGTAAGACTGCTATGGTTAAAATTTAAGGGAAATGTGGGAGATTTTTGTTTTCTAGTTAAAAATTGCTTAGTTTATTTTAGAAATTAGGGCTCTTAGGCTGGGTGAACTGGCTTATACCTGTAATCCCAGCCCCTGGAGGCAGAGGCAGGAGGATTGTTTGAACCCAGGAGTTCAAGACCAGCCTAGGCAACATAGCAAGACCTTGTTTCTGTAAAAAATTAAAAAAAAATTAGTTGGGCATGGTGGCATGTACTTGTAGTTTCAGCTATTCAGGAGACTGAGGCGGAAGCCTCACCTGAGACCAGGAGGCCAAGACTGTGGTGGCTGTGATGGTGCTACTGTCATCCAACCTGGGTGACAGAGTGAGACCTCAACTCAAAAAAAAAAAGGGGGGGCGGGGCTGCTGTTGGTTCCGTACATCTAGTTTCTTTCTCAAGGAGAGTTTTGAGAGTGTTTTGTATGTCAATTTTGTGTAAGTCATTTGGAGTTTACAAATTTTATGTAGATTCTGAAGGAAAAGGAAAATGGAACAAACTGAGAGGAGACAGAGGAAATAGAAAGGAAAAGTAGTTAGAAGCCAGTTCATCTCAGGAGAAAGGAGAGGGCAGAATATGGACCAGAGATAGTTAGTCACTTTTCAGACAGTGTTTGATATTATAGTTGAAAGTCTTTGTATTTTAACTGACCTCATTCATTTTCCAAGGCACACTTTAAAGTAATTTACCTTTGCCTTTCTGGGGAGAGTCTTTTTTAATTTAAATTAAATTAAATTAATTTTTTTGAGTCGGAGTCTCATTCTCTTGCCCTGGCTGGACTGCAGTGGCAAAATCATGGCTGCAGTGGCAACCTCAACCACCTGGACTCAAGTGATCCTTGTCCTTCTGCCTCCAGAGTAGCTGGGACTACAGGTGCACACTATCATGCCTGGCTAATTTTTTTTTTTTTTTTTTTTTTTGTAGAGACGAGGTCTCAAACTCTGAACTCAAGCTATCCTTCTACCTTGTCCTCCCAAAGTGTTGGGATTACAAGTGTGAGCTTCCACACCCAGCCACTGGGATTAATTTTATATGGGTTATTTAACTTAAAAATAATTTAATAAGCAATGCACTTGCTGAATCTCCCATTACAGATAATGCATTTAAACAAAAATATTTATTTCCACAGATAGCTTCTATGTGACATGGGGAGCCCAGCATAATTCAGGAGCAAGGGCAGCCCCAGGACAACCATTACCTCCACATGGGAAACCTCTTGGAAAACTAAGCTCTGCAGATCTCAAGGATATTATTAAAAAGGTATAATGCGAATCATGAATTTGAATTGGGATTGGCCACTGTAGTTATCCTAAGACTATTTATTGCAAACATTTTGGCATGGAGGTGACAGATGACAGAATGGGCAAAGCTGGCTCTTTTAGAATTCATTCCTTGTGGCAGATTAACGAGGTGCACATGTACTGACATACATATGTATGAAATTGCTAGGATGCCTGTTATGAGGCTTCAGATTAACCAGGAAGTCATCCTGGAGCAGTGGTTATCAGACTTCAGTGAGCCTCAGAGTTAGCTGAGGAACTAGAAAACATGCAGATTCCTGGGGGCTGTCCCGAGCATCAGATTCACCAGGTGAGGTGCAGAGAGTCCCAGCTTCCAGCAGGCTCCTAGGTGATGTTGATGCTGCTGGTCCACTGAAACCCTAAGCAGCACTGTCCTGGACAGGTTTTTTTCTTAAGTTGAGGTATAATAAAGGAGCAGAAACAGTAGTGCATATGATTACTTTAAAAATTAATATTTATGTTGAAAGTATGAATTCTATATCAGGGAGATTTTTCATGGCTTGGTACACTGATTTGCCTGGAATGGATGCTGCAAAATTTGGGAATATTCAAAGTTGTTAAGTGTGTAAAGTCTAACTGTTCTTTCTTTCTTCCCTCCTGTACTCTGTTGCAGAGTCCCCAGCAGGGCATGGTACCTGTGTGGGCTTTTGATTCATTTGCAAGAAGTGCAAAAGCACAAGCATTCCCAGGAGATTTTTTAGGCATGAGATTTCTCAAGTTCTGGGATGTTTATGGATCTTTGTCCACTGATTCATAATAACTGATAACATTTGAGAGATTTAAAAGTTTTTTATAATTAACCTAACTTATGCCGCTTTCTTGTTTTTTCTTTTCTTTTTTTGATTTTGAGTCAGAGTCTCACTCTGTCACCCAGGCTGGAGTGTAGTGGAATAGTCATGGCTCACTGCAACCTCGACCTCCTTGGCTCAGGCATTCTTCCTGCCTCAACCTCTGGAGTAATTGGGACTACAGGTCACGCCTGGCTAAGTTTTGATTTTTTTGTTGAGATGTGGTCTCGCTATGTTGCCCAGGCTGGTATGAAACTCCTAGGCTCAGGCAGTTCTCCTGCCTGGTCTCCCAAAGTGCTGGGATTATAGATGTGAGCCACAGCACCAGTCTGTACTGCCTTTTGCTAGTTGTATTTTCCGAAAGTAACTGATTTTCATGGATCCTTGAACTTGCTTGACATTATATGAGTTTTTCCCTGGAGAATGCCAATTAAAGCTGACTACTGGAGAGATAAAATATGGGGTGTGAGATGACATGTGGTTGCTTCACCTCTTTTTATAAGTATATCAACAATATAATATTTTGGCCTAGATAACCTTTGAATTATGTCATCAGGCCCGTATTAATTATAAAATATTCTCTATGATTTTTTAAAAGGGTCTTATTCATTATGGACGAGATAACCAGGATTTAGATATTTTGCTTTTCCAAGAAGTTCTGGAGTATATATCTAGGATAGATAGAGCGCTGAGTTTCCCTGGAGGGTCACTTCTGTTAGCGGGACGGAGTGGTGTGGGCCGGCGGACTGTCACCTCTTTAGTCAGTCATATGCATGGAGCGGTGCTGTTTTCTCCAAAGATTTCCAGAGGATACGAACTGAAGCAGTTCAAAAATGATCTCAAACACGTGAGTTGCTCACTCTCTTTTGGTTTCAAATTGCATTAGTTATTATCCAAAACATCTTTTAAGACTTTTAATTCTCTGATATACAACATAGTCTATATTTTAATTTTGATTACTAGTTTTTGATTATTAGAAAATAATATTTTAATCTACAGATAGGATAAGTATTTCTAGTAGGTTACGTGGTGTTAGAGGGACAAGAGTGGTAGACAAAAGGATGGAATTTTCTTAGAAAATATGTGGGGATATATCAAAATGATCCTCTAGTTTTTGTTTTAATGTCCTAGCTATACGATAATTAAAATTTCCCTCAAATAATGCTTATTCATTAGTTGGATTTACTTTTCAAATTATATGGCTGATGTTTGATTTTTAAGTACAGTTACTGAGATATAAATAAATACGTGATAGAGGCATACTTTGCATACAGAATGATGGTTTTTAACAGCACCCCAAATGCTGAAAGGATGCTAAAGGCTGTTTTCTGACCTTGCAGGTGCTGCACCTTGCAGGGATTGAAGCCCAGCAGGTGGTCTTACTTCTTGAGGACCACCAGTTTGTGCACCCTGCGTTTTTGGAGATGATCAACAGCCTTTTGTCCTCAGGCAAGTGGATGTTTCTACTTAAAGAAAATAAAAATAACAATGCGCAAATTATTCAGGTACAATTATCTTATGTAAAATGTAGTTTGTTTCAGAGAATTTGGGGCTTAGCTCTTACTAAGGCGACAAGGGGTTCAACAAGTTGATGGCAGAAGTGAGAAATTCCATTCGTGTAAAACCAAGAATTCAGGAATTATCTAAAAATATTGTTCGTATTGAATATTGGTGAATGTCCAAAAACATTGATTCTCTCGTGCACTCTTGAAAGTTATCAACTAGTACTCATTAAAAATTGTGCCATACCATTTGAAGTAGCATTCTGTCATCTGTAGGGATTTAATGCACAGAAATAAGAGAACTAGTATGTAAGAATATGTGTAACATAATTTTTTTTTTTTAGATTAGAAAATATAGTTTATTTAGAAGGTAAAATTAGAAAGAAAGAGGAGCTTCACCTCTGCAGGTTAGGGAAGGGGACCAGAGCCAGGAAGCATGGCCACACCCGAGTTTAGTAAGACTATGGCCAACATAATTTTTAGTAATACAGAATTTGATAGATCTTCCTGTCAGTAGTGGAATGTTTTTGTAATTACTGTGTGGAGTTAGTATGGATATATGAATACAGATATATTCCAGATAAATTGAATTCCATAGAACTCTACACATTTTAGTACCCACATTTCATGTATCTGAAATATATCTGTATTCATTGGAAAAATGCACATTCTACTTTTTTAGTTAAATAGAGCAACTCAAGCAGTAAATAATCTCATTTTTAAAAAGAAATTTAAACTACTTTTAAGGAAAAAAGGAACTTGAAAGTACTTTGAGTATGTGTCTAAATAATAGAAAAATATCATTTGAAAGAGGACTGTATTTATACATACACTTTTTAGAAATTTATGGCTAATAAATGAGCTTTCTATATTTACAGAATTTCAAGAATTGTAGAAATATTTGATGTATTATGTTTCCAAGACATATATTGTTTGAAAATCATTACTTGTATTTTGTCTTGCTGACTTGAGTCTTGTTTCTTCCCCTAGATATAACACCAAGCACTCACCATTTGCATTCCCCAGCATTTTTAAACCCTAATTGTACATTAGTATCATTGGAGAGTTAAAAGAACTAGTAATGAATTCTTTGCTGCTACCCTGAGTCCACTGAGTCAGTCTTGAGTGGTGGTGGGGATAGCATTTGGCTCTTAGGGCTCCCTGATTGAGTGTCTGCAAACTGAGTTAAGAAGCAGTGCCTGGTTCTTGGGCAGCTCTTGAATTTTACCTCCTCTTTTGCTGCGCTGTGTCCCTCCTCTTGTTTATGATGTCACCTAACGGTTTTGTATTATTCCTGGGGAGAATACCTGCAAATGCCTGTCTTTCTTCCTTTTCCAAAGAGTTTATTAAGTTTATTAGAATCTCGATTGATTGATTGATTGTAGAGACAGGGTCTCACTGTGTTGCCTAGGCTTAGCCTCAAGCAACCCTCCTGCTTTGGCCTCTCAAAGTGCTGAGATTATAGACATGAGCCATTACACTCAGCCTCGAATCTCTTTATGAATAATCACTGCTAGCTGAAGTGGCATGAGGTAGCTTAGTTTTAAACTTGGGCCGAGAATATTTTGTTATTTAAGTATAAGATAAACTTTGTTAAAAACTAATTTCCATTGTATGGATGGTCCCATTGCGGGACTCAAGGACAAAGTTACACAAACTCATTTTTAACTCAGTTTTTAATAAATACTTGTTTTGTATCATGCTGGTTTCTCAGGTGGAATAGTTTTTAGAATTTCACAATTTTGGTGAAAGAAAACATTTAATTTATAACATGTGGTATCTACACATTATTGCTCTAATGAGAAATACAGACCAGAAGTGGTAAATCAATTTCTATTAAAGAGTTGAGGGGTAATGACTTAGGGAAAGTATTAGTGCTTAAGCAGACTTGGCGTGGTTGTGACCATTTTCTAGAATAACATCTTTTGACTTTTAAGGAACACATTCCTGCATATTGCTTACATTGCCACTAGATGGAGACCTTGTTCGTTTTGGCTGACAAACTGATAGAGGAGAGACAACAGTTTTCTTTCTTTTTTTTTTTTGTGTCAAAGCAAACATCTAGACAGAGCATTAACCAGTAATTATTGTTTTAAGACAAATTGGCCTTTATCAAGATCAAGTTAAGTTTGAGCAGTTTGTTTTCAGAGAAATGTTCAGTAGGCCCTTGTCACTTTTATTTCAAATTTTTATTTCTGAATGTGTATAGTATGTAAGTCGATCTGGCACTTTTTGCTAAATGTAAGGAACCAAAAGTATCTTGGTTTGGCTGAAATGGAAGGAAAACCCTGCAGAGCAGATGCATGTGTTTGTGTGTTCGAGTATGTACAAGCTTGGGGGACGGGGTGGTCCAGTGCCTCTGAGTTGAATCTGAAGAAGAGAAGGGATCAGATCTTGATGGATCCCACATGAATGCACAGCTTTGGATGTGTAGCAAAGGAATTTGCACTTCATCTTGGAGCTTCTTGGGAATAGTAAATATATTGGTTTAACAAATATTAAAGAACCCCATATGTGCAGTTTCAAGTTTTAAATACTAATTTATAGTGGTGAACAAGACATGGTCCAGGCCCTCTATGAATCCTCGTAGTGTTAATCAACTGGGATTTGCCTTTCATTATTCTGTTGCATAGCAGCACGCCAGGGACTGGGTCTCCTGATTTCTAGTAAAAGTTTATTTGTTTATTCGTTCATTCATTCATTCATTTATCTAACATGTATTTTTGTTTCAGATACTTAGGTCAGAATTTTCTAGGGTTAAATAGTGAATACCACACTTGTCCCTTGGGAATTCAGAGTCTAGTTGGGCTGGAGATGGAAGTTATTAATTCGTTATTAAATAATGTGATAGGTGCGAATCAGTGGTATGTTCAGACAGTATATAAAGGAGAAAAGGGGGCTTTACTTAGTGTCTGGGTGGTCAGGAAGACTCATGCCATGACACTGGCAAAGGAGCATCTGAAGGATAGATAGTCATGTATTGGAAAGACAAAGGGCAGAAGCGGACCGTAGGTGCACATTCCAGGGAGAGAGTATATTTTGTGGTATTTATAGAACACAATGAAGTTCATTGCAGCTAGAATACAAGGTTCTTATGGGGAGAGTGGGTAAAAACCTGTAAAGGCAGATAGATGACTAGCTTATGATCTGTCTTTTGAATGGCTTGCTTAGAAGTTTGAATTTTATCCAGTGAAGACCATACTTATAGGTTTGTGTCATGTAAAGGTAATAGGGTTTGTGTATTTTTGGAAAGAAAAATTGAATGGCCAAGCACGGTGGCTCAAACCTGTATTCCCAGTACTTTGGGAGGCCGAGGTGAGACGATTACCTGAGCCTGTGGTTTCGAGACCAGCCTAGGCAACATGGTGAGACCTCAGCTCTACAATAAGTCAAAAAATTAGCTGGGCATGGTAGCGTGCGCCTTTAGTTCTGGCTACTTGGAGGGCTGAGGCGGAAGAATTGCCAGAGCCCAGCAGGTTGACGCTGGGGTCGCTGTGAGTGTGCCTCTGCGCTCCATCCTGGGCGACGGACCGAGACTCTGACTCAAAAAAAAAGGGAAGATTGAACAAGGGCAGATTTTTAAAAATTCCAAAATTGAAAAAGTATTGTATATCTGTGTGTTTTAAATTAGTATAATGCAGCCCCAAATGAAAATAAAAAGAAATGTGATTTTTTTTTCTTTTGTAGGTGAAGTTCCTGGACTCTATACTCTTGAAGAATTAGAGCCCTTGCTGTTGCCTCTTAAAGATCAAGCTTCACAGGATGGTTTCTGTGGGCCCATCTTCAATTACTTCACTTATAGTATGTGGCATAGAGTTCATTAATCAACTTGAACTCTCTGTTTTGTGTGTAATATGTGCCATTGAATTAGTCTTATTTTCTCATTAGATTGCAAAGGTATCTTAAATCCTGCATCCATTTGGTAATTTATACCTTTTTCTCTTTTCTGGAGCTTTCAGAAAAGAACACATAACTAGTCTGTATGTTAGTAAAAATACCTTAGCAACACTTTAGCAAAGGAAAATGATGAAAGCGTGGTAATGTCATTTAGACTATTTACCTTGCTTTCTTTGTTTTCATGTGATAGAATTAGTGCTACTGTAATACCTCCTATTTTAAGGAACTGTTGAACTATTTAGATTGTGCCAGACTTTAGTTTTTTAAAAAAATTAAATAACCTTTTATTAATGCAGAAATGGTTTTATGTGCACTGTAGAAATCTAAAACTGAAATAAGTAAAAAAACAAGACAATAATCATACCACCCTGACATTACTCCACTTGTACTGAGCTCAGAATCAAAAAACTAGTGGTTTCATGAATCTGGCAGGTCTAGTAAAGACACATGAATATCCTTCTGAATCTTTTCTCTTAACATGCACACACACATTTTTAAGTATTTTTTAAACAAAATAAAATTGCATCATAATATTGTATTATAACTTGTTCTTTTTAATAAGTAGCTCCTATTGTTCCATTTCAGAAAATTATAATTTCAAAACCCCAGACCATATATAGGTCCTGATTCTATTATTATTCTTGTAATTGAAATTTCAAGATTATACTTTTCTCATGTATTTTTTAGGAATTCAACAAAACCTGCATATTGTCTTGATAATGGATTCTGCAAATTTAAACTTTACAATTAACTGTGAGAGTAATCCAGCTTTGCATAAGAAATGCCAAGTGTTGTGGATGGAGGGTTGGTCAGATAGCAGTATGAAGAAAGTAAGTTTAACATTTAAATGTGAAAATTTTAAAAAGCACATTTTATTTTCAAAGTTATTAATTTTCATAACTTCTTTTTGATGTTAGTGATAACATTACCTTAGTTGTGGTACTGAACATTTCTCCTATGCTTGAAAATATCTCTATTTTCTGCTTACTCTTGTATGATAGTTTAGTTGGATATAGAATTTTAGATTGAGGATTATGTTCTCAATTAAGTACCACAGAGCTAATTATCATACTTGTAAAATTTTATGCCTTTAACTAACTAGTCTATCATAGGCTAGCCTAGAATTAAAAAAAAAAAACCATAGCAAGGATTTTAACAATGATAAACTTTTAAACTACTTATTTAAAAAGCTATCATTGCTATATTATGTGTCTGGAGGAGAATGAGCTTAAAGTGTGACCTCTTAGCACTGCCTTAACTGGAAGCCTCTTATTTTGCTTCATTTGAATAAGCAGAAATTTTCATTGTTTCTTCAAGTGAATATTCATATTCTAGATTACTAATTTCTTTTTTTTGTAATAGAAATACAGAGGAATGCCTGTCATGAGTCAGAGTAAGGAGTATGATTTGAAATAATAGATAAGTTTTTACAGATGAGATCATATTTTGGTTAGATTTCAGTAAGTATTTAAAGGAGAGAAAAGGTATTTTAGTGTGGGGAGGCCACATGAACAGGCATTCATTAAGGAGTAATTATTGGATGCTTGATATGTATCACTGTTCTATGTGTTGGGGATATGGTAGAGAAAATGGCAGACAGGATCCCTGCTCTCCTGGAGTTGACATCCTTGCCAGGGATATCTGGGTAAAGCTCTCTAGCGGAAGATCCTGAGATGTGAGGTGCCTGATGATTCTGAGGATCAGCAAGAGACTACTGTACCTGGAGCAGAGTGATCGAGTGAGGGGGAGAGGATCTGGAGATGATGTCAGAGAGAGGGAGACTAGTTGGGGGGGCTTGGAAAGCCATCACACTGCGTGAGGGTTTTAGCATTTCCTGATAACTGATTTTTAGAGGCTTTGAGCAGAAACGTTCTGACTTGTGTTACGATTGTTTAACTCTGGTTTCTGCACTGCGAGGAGACTACAGGGGGCAAGGCCAGAAGCAGTTACAGACTATTGCAGTGATCCGGGGGAGAGAAAAGATGGTTCAGCTAAGGATGGTATGGTGAGGTGCCGAGAAGGGCTTGTAGTCTGAGTATGTGTTGTGGTAGAAACAACATTTGCTGACAGATTGTAATAAGGTATAAGAGAAAGTAAGGAGCCACTTACAGATGTTTTTGGCTTGAGCAACTGGAAAAATGAAATGACTGTCAACTGAGACTGTGAAAAGAACATAGTAAGAAGAGACTAGGAGGCCAGGCACTGTGACACATGCCTGTAATCCTAGCACTCTGGGAGGCTGAGGTGGGAGGATTGCTTGAAGCCCAGGAATTTGAGACCAGCCAAGGGAGCATAGCAAGACCTGGTCTCAACAATAAAAATAGAAAAATAAAATTACCCAGGCATGGTGGCACATACCTGTGGTCCCAGTTGCCTGGGAGGCTGTGGTGGGAAGATCATCTGAGCACAAGAGGTCAAGGCTGTGTTGAGCCGTGATCGTGACACTGTACCCCAAACTGGGTGACAGAATGCCATCCCCCCCCCCCCCCCAAAGAAAGAACATGAGTCTTTTGGTTTAAGATGTGTTAAATACAAGATGTCAGACATCCAGGTTGCAAAATTGAGAATACATTTGGTTATATGAGTCTGGAGTTTTAGGAGTCAGGCCTACAGAAAAACAATTGGGGAATTATCAGAGTATAGATGGTATTTAAAACTATGAGAATGAATGATATCACCAAGAGAATGAGTGTAGACAAAAGAAAGCAGAGATCCAAGGGCTGAATTCTGGGACACTTCACCATTAAGAAATTGGGGAGATGAAGAGAAGGAACTGGCAGAGAAGACTGAGAAGAAGCTGCGAGGGAAATAAGAGGAAAGCCAGGAGAGCGTGATATTCTAGAAGCCAAGTGAAGGTGACATTTCAAGGAGGAAATAAGGATGAACTATGACACGTGAAAGTAGGTGAGGACTGGGAATCGATCCTTGGATTTAGCAACATGGAGGTCACTGGTGACCTTGATAAAGCAGTTGTAATTAGTGAAAAAAGTCATGTGGGAGTACGTTTCAGAAAGAATGGAAAGAGAATATTGGAGACTGAGTATGACTTTTTTGAATAATTTTGCTTAAAGGGGAAGCAAGAAATTTGTTAGTAATGAGAAGAAGTAGGGGTAAATATGGAGGTTTGTTTTGATAGATGGTAAAAACTATAGCATGTTTATATGTTGTTGGGAATGACTTAGTAGGAAGTAAAAAATATTGATGCAGGAAAGACAGGAAAAAATTGCAAGAACAATATCATTGGCAGTGGACAACAAATGGGATTAGCATGTTAATGGGAGAATTAAGAATTGGCCTTTCTTATGAGAATGGAGGAATCATTTATAGTAACAGGAAAGAGAGCAGAGTAGAGGCACACAGATCCAGGGGCAGGCAGCTGTGGTGTTGGGAAGTTTTGGATACTCTCTTTTATTTATTTATTTTAAATTAATTTTTAATTCAAAACAAATGTAGATGTGGGCATACACATGCATATTTGTGACGTGGACGTGTTGTGTGGTGGTGGGGATTGGGTCTCGGGGGCCCATCCCCAGACAGTGAACGTTGTGCCTGCAGGTAGTTTCAGAACCCTAGGCCCCCTCCCGCTCCTCCCTTATTTGTGTCCCCAGTGTTTGTTATTTCCATCCTTGTGACCGTTTAGCTCCCAACTATGAGTGAGAGCGTACTTCGTTTGGTTTTCTGTTTCTCGAGTCAATGCACTTAGGATGATGGTCTCCAGCTCTGTCCTTGTTGCTGCCAAGGGCGTGATTACATTCTTTTTTATGACTGTGTAGTATTCCATGAAGTACATATACCACATTTTCGTTATCCGCTGATCGGTTGATGGGTGTTCAGGTTTATTCCACATCTTTGCAATTGTCAATTGTGCTGCCATGAACATGCAGGTGCAGGTGTCTTTGTTATGTAAGGACCTCTGTTCCTTAGGGTAGATACCCAGTAGGGGGATTGCGCCATCAAATGGTGGACCTACTTTTAGTTCTCTGAGTAATCTGCATACTGCTTTCCATAGAGGTTGCACTGATTTACACTCCCACCAACAGTGTTTAAGTGTTCCCTTTTCTCCACATTCGTGCCAGTGTCTTGGTTTTTGATTTTTTAATAATGGCCATTCTGACTGGTGTAAGGTAGCATCTCATTGTAGTTTTAATTTGCATCTCCCTGATGAAGAGTGATGTCGAGCATCTTTTCAAATGTTTGTTGGTCACTTGTATATTTTATTTTGAGAGATGTCTGTTCATGTCGTTTGCCCACTTTAATGGGGTAATTTGCTTTTTCTTGCTGATTTGTTTGAGTTCTTTGTAGATTCTGGATATTAGTCCTTTGTCAGATACATAGTTTGTGAGTATCTTCTCCCATTCCATAGGTTGCCTGTTTGCTCTGTTGATTATTTCTTTTGCTGTGAAAAAGCTTTTTTATTTTAATTCTCACTTTTTAATTTTTGTTTTAGTTGCATTTGCTTTTGGGGTTTCAGCCATAAACTCTTTGTCTAGGTTGATGTCCATAAGAGTTTTTCCTAGATTTCTTCTATGATTTTTATGATTTCAAGTCTGACATTTACATCTTTAATCCACCTGGAGTTAATTTTTCTATATGGTGAGAGATAGGGATCCAGTTTCATTTTTCTGCATGTGGCTATCCAGTTTTCTCGGCACTATTTTCTGAACAGGGTGTCATTTTCCCTATGTCTGATTTTGTCTACTTTGTTGAGGAGGATCAGTTGCTTGAAGATATTTGGGTTTATTTTCAAATTCTCTATTCTGTCCCATTGGTCCATGTGTCTTCTTTTTTACCAGTACCGTGCTGTTTTGGTTACTACAGTCTTGTAGCATAATTTGAAATCAAGTAATATGATACCTCTAGCATTGTGCTCTTTACTTAGATGGCTTTGACTATTCTGGCTCTTTTTTGGTTTCGTATTAATTTTAGGATTGTTTTTTCTAATTCTGTGAAAAATGACGTTGGTAGTTTGATAGAGATTGCATTGAATCTGTAGATTACTTTGGGTAATATGGTCATTTTAATAATGTTGATTCTTCCAGTTCATGAGCGTGGGATGTTTCTCCATTTGTTTGTATCCTCTGCTATTTATTTCATCAGAGTTTTGTAGTTCTTGTAGAGATCTTTTATCTCCTCAGTTAAATATATTTGTAGATATTTTAGCTTTTTGGCTGCTATTGTAAATGGAATTTAGTTTTTGATTTGATTTTTCAGCTTCGTCGCTATTGGTATATAGCAGTGCTATTGATTTGTGTGTGTTGATTTTGTATTCTGAAACTTTACTGAATTCACTTATCAAGTCCAGAGTCTTTTGTAGGACTCTTTAGGATTCTCTAGGTATATGATCATATCGTCGACATAGAGAGATGTTTTGTTGGACACTCTTTATTTCTTTTTCTTGCCTGATTGCTCTGGCAAGGACTTCCAGTCCACTCTTTTAATTGTTTCTGTTTTCTCAGTGAGATAGAAAGTGAGATTATCAGTTGAGAGAGAGGGTGGAGAAAGAGGTTTTGAAGAAATACAAGAAGATAAGGGAAAAAAAGAAGATATGCAAAGTGGTAGTTTACAAGAGTGAAATAGTGAAAGCGTTAGGAGAATGGAGTATGATAACTGTGTAGCCTTGGTCACTTGAGGTTGATGATCATGAACTTCAGTTGAAGCCACTCAACATAGCTATTTTTTTTTCCAAGCCATATGTGCACTCATGGGTGCAGACATGGAGTAGGTGGTCTCTTGGACTTAGCCAGATTTGGGGCTTTGCCACTTGAGTATGACAAAACAAATGAAGGCAAAGGAGTTAGAATATTTACAAGACTACAATTATTAGACTCACCTTGGAATTTAAGTTGATAAAGTGGTAATTAGGATAGGAAGCTGATGAAAGACAGTGAAATGGCTGAGTTAGTAGAGTGTAGGTTTCAGTGGAGCTTTAGTATTTTGAGGGAGGGATTTTTTTGGGAGGGAGTGAACTGGGAAGACAGGAGTGTAGTAGTAAAGGAGTGGGATATCTGAAAGTGAGATTATGGAAGAATTTCACTCACTGTTAATGCCAAGGTCTCAGGATGTGACTGTGCAGGTGAGTGGCTGGCCAAGAGAAGAGAAGGGAGAAAAGTTCAGGAAATTGAGAAGTGTAGGCATTAGAGAGATCCCTGAAATGGATATTGAAATTATTACGGAGATAAGACAGGATTTGTGTTGTACTGATAGTAAGCTAAGAGCTATAATTACCTGTGGAATGAAGAAAGGTTTTAGATTCGACTGGTAGATGCCTGCATAAAGCGGATGAGAGGTTACTGCAGTCTGATCATATGAAAACTGAATTTAGGGAATTTAGTGAGGATGATGTTGAAGTAGCTGAGGTGAAGGCAGGCCCTGCTCCACCCACAGGACTGGTGGTTCAAGGTGTGCTTGGGCCACAGAGAGCTCATAGGCTGCCACACAGGCATGTGAGACATTGTACTGGAGATAGAATGAAAGCCAGGGTGGGGACTGGCAAGGGACGCCTTTTAGTGCTGTGACATTGAATTTTAGTCAATGAGCAGTTGACAGCAATGAAAGTTATTTTGAAGGGATTGACATGATCCCGTCAGTTTTGAATATGTTAATAAATGTAGCCCGGCTCGGTGGCTTAGCCTGTAATCCCGCGTCTTTGGGAGGCTGAGGTGAGTGGACTGCCTGAGCCCGCGGGTTCGAGACCCACCTGGGCAGCGAGACCTCATCTCTACAATAAATCAAAAAATCAGCCGGGCATGGTAGCGCGCGCCTGTCATACCAGCTATTCCGAAGGCTGAGGCGGAAGGATCGCCGGAGCCCAGCAGGTCGAAGCTGCGGTGGCTGGGAGCGGCCACTGCACTCCAGTCTGGGCGACAGAGTGAGACTCCGACTCAAAAAAAAAAGTAAGAGATGAGAATAAAGCAAATTAATAGGATTAATAAACCCATTCAACTCTTTTTAGAAAATGCCATTTTTATCTCAAAAGAGAGAATATGGGTAAATGAATAACGGGTAAATCTAGGCAGGACATATTTGCTAATGTAAGATATTGCTTGAGGATGGATTAATTAAAGAAAGTTCTCAAAGAAACAAATTTCCATTGATTTTAAAAGTGCAAATTTAAAATATTCTCATAGAGACTTAAGTATTTTGTCAGAAATCAGTGGCGATGGTTGAGAAAAACATGTTTTCTGGCTTAGGGACCATAGCACTTTCAAACTCTGCATTTTAAAGGATCTTTTGACTTGCATTTTTTTTGAGTCTGAGAAATTAAAAAAAAAAAGATTCTTTGAACTAGTTACCTGGATTACTTGTGTTTCCTCTTCCTATTAATGTCAGTTATGTCAAGTAAAATAAATTGGAGCTTTCTGGCTTAACTTTAAAATTTCAGAGTTCTGTTACTTTAATTTTATTTCAGGAAGCTAAGTTTTTTGTATATTTAAAAGTAACATTCTTATAAAGTTATTCTATTTTCTCTAATAATGATGATATCTGTTTAGGAAACTCTGCAATAGTGGTAAAAACCCAGTCATAGCTAGACAATATATTTTAGACTTATCAATTATAAAATAATTAATTATGAAATTATTTTTATTTGGTTTTGATTATTTCTTATTTGAGAAAGCTAAGAATCCTTGGTATCCCACTGTGCCGTCAAGGCATTTTATTCGTCTGATGCCAGGTAAAACATTTTATTCTTATTGTTGGCTGATGTTAAATGGCATTGTGATTATTTTCCGTCTCAATCCTCATTGTAATTTCCTTCATTTCGTATAGCCTAATAAATTTCAAGTGAGACATTGGCACTTTTCCTGGTGTGTCATTAATTGGCAGTCAGTTAATGGTTGACATGTGTCCAAAGTTGTCTGGGAAATAATGTCTTCTAAAGATTGCCATATTACGTTTTTCTCTTTCCCTGAAAAGTGCAGTTGATGTAGTCTGTCTATGTTAAAGGTTCTTAACCTCTGATATTGGATTCACTTAAAACTTTTCCATACTGATTTGCTCATGTTTTAGATTCCTGAAATGTTATTCAGTGAAATGGGAGGTGAAGAAAATTATAATGACAAGAAAAAGAAAGAAGAAAATAAAAGAAATTCAGGTAGTATTTGGATGAAATCAGTTTTATCTGATTTTTACTTATGAAATGGTTACTTTTTTCTAATGTTATAGAATATCTACTGTTTGCATTTAAGAAATTTAAAAATTATTTTTCTGACCCAAGTGATTCGAAGAACTTAGTTATGTTGTCCACAGTTTTTGGCAGTAACCTAAACTTTTCATATTGGCTTATCACTTAGATATGCCCCAGACTCAATTCTTATATGAAGTTTTACGATATTCTTTGAGTGTGGGCATAATAGGTTCTTGTCTATAATATTCTCATTTTTTTCTCCAACTTCAAAGTAATTTTAAATTAATTTTGTGTTCCTTTTTTCTACGATAGTTTATTCAGTCATTCATTTATCTGACCATATAATCATTTATTTATTGAACTTGTTTTATACTAGGTATTGGGCTATAGTTCATAGTCTAGTGATTGTGAGAATTATGCTATATATAAACACAAAGCTCTGATATAGTGGGGTGCGTGATGGTGAAAGTTTATATGAAGTGCATTGGAGAGCGAAATATCTAACTGGTAGATGTTATAGGAAATGGACATTGCCCAGACAGGCAGTTTGAGAAAGGCATTTTGGTGAGAGTGAGTAGCATGGAAAGGCTTGGAGAAGTGAAACAGGCATTTTATGGAACTATATACCACTGAAGTTCTGAAACCTAGGATGTATGAGCAGAGTACTAGCTGAAGATGAGAGACTAGCAGGGCCAGGTCACAAAGCGCCTTCTGCCCTATGCTAAGGAGTTTGGATTCTAACTTGTTGGTGATGGGGGCTTAGTGAGAGATTTTATAGCGATGTAATCCGAGTTTTGTTTTAGGAGTAAATCTCTAGGTACATCCCTTCCTTTAGTTATTGGAAAATAGGGAGAAACCAAAAGCAGTTAGACCGCTTCGGAATTCTGTTGCAGTAATCTCAGAGAGACATGAAGGAGGCCTGAACCAGGAAAGAGGTAGAGGAAGGAGTAGACCTGGAGCATCTGTTAGGAGGTAATAAATGGGACTTGGTTATGTGATGGCTGCAAGAAGAGGGAGGAGCCAAGGATTTTTCCTAGGGTTCTGGCATGGGGGCTTTATTAGAAGTTGATTTCATTCACTAGGTTAGGGAATAGAGAGGGAAATTGAGTCAGTGAGAGAAATATGGTATATTTGATTGTGAATATATTGAATCTGATTCTTAACTTTTTGGCTTTTGAAGTCCTGTTCCTCCTGTATCAAATGCAAGCAAATAGATGCTATTTGGCTTGGCACTTTTCTATTCAAGCAGCTTTTATTGAGCTCACTTTTGGATTACATTGCATGTGTTATGTAGTCCCAGTTAATTTATATGTTATGACAACATGTAGATGTATCTTTCTTGAAGTAATAAAAATGTTCAGGGGGAAATATATAATATTAGAATGATAGGGACTGCTAAAACTAGATAATTCAATATTCATAAGGAAGATCAGAGGTATGAATAGATGTTTAAGAATGTGTGTACATCCTTAAGCAAAGATGCTATCTCATATTTATGATTATATAGCGTGGAAGCATCTAGCGTGAAATAACTACAGTTGGGATTATTTTATCGAATTCTTAATGAGTCATGCATGTATTAAATCATTTTTATCTTCTATCTTTTCCTAGTTGATCCTGATTTTCTAAAATCATTTTTGTTAATCCATGAGTCTTGTAAAGCATATGGTGCAACACCAAGCCGATATATGACCTTTCTACATGTGTATTCCACCATTAGTAGCAGCAAGAAAAAGGAATTATTAAAAAAACAAAGCCATTTGCAGGTACATTATTGGTAATCTTGAATTATTTTAAGGAATTGTGTATGGGAAGAAATAATTATGTAAATCACAATGCTTTGTTGCCTGTGGCATATACTCGGTATAAATAATGTACTATGTTGAAAGTCCTGGAAAACAGGCCCACCTTTCTGCCTGTGTTGCCCTCTAGATTACAGTAATGATTTGTTTCTTTTGATTCCATAATTGTCCCTTCTCTTCACTGGCTGGTGTTTCTGTGCTTTTGGTGGCTTATGGTGATGCCTAGGAGAGTCTCTTTCATGCGAAAGCAGTTTTAGAAATTGAGAAATCCCATTTGTTAATTAAAGCATAACTATCTTTTTATTGTATAATGATTCTTTAAATTAACATCACATTTTGTAATGTTGTTATCCATGTCATTCCTGTTAGTTCATTCTGAACAGTTTCCTTTCTCTATTTCTCTAGTTATAGAGCTTTAACTTACATGTGACATTAGAATGCCACCCTCTGAAGTTTTCAGAGAACATTTCCTCTTTAAAGTTCTAGTTTCCCTTTGTTAAAGTGAGAAACAAGCCTCCATATTAACCGATCTTTATCCTTTCTAATGATTCAATTTCATTTATGTTAAGCTGCTGACTATACATGTTTTTGGGAGGATTTACTTAGTTCTCTGTGGTGCTTTGAATAAATTACTTAAACTAACCGAGTTGTAACTTAATTGGCTCCATGGTAGTTATATGTAAGTGTATTAGATAAAATTCATATATAAAAAAATCTAAGCCGGGCTCGGTGGCTCAGCCTGTAATCCCGCGCCTTTGGGAGGCTGAGGTGAGTGGATTGCCTGAGCCCGCGGGTTCGAGACCCGCCTGGGCAGCGAGACCTCATCTCTACAGTAAATCAAAAAATCACCCGGGCGTGGTAGCGCATGCCTGTAATTCTGGCTACTTGGAAGGCTGAGGCGGAAAGATTGCCGGAGCCCAGCAGGTTGAGGCTGCAGTAGCCGTGAACGTGCCCCTGTACTCCAGTCTGAGCGACAGAGTGAGACTCTAACTCAAAAAATTATATATATATATATATGTTTTCTATCTTGGATGCTCAATAAATATTGGCTATATTCCTTTTTACCATGACTGTCTCCTCCAGTCTTCTGATTTGGTAGGAGACAAAAACCTAATTCATATTATAGTAGAAGAGAAGGAATTTTATTCAAGTCCATTCCTTGGATTATTCATAGGTAGGGGGATGGGGTAATATAATGGCCAGGCCAGGGTCAAATGCCCACCCAGATTGCAGGTAAAGCATTTTGAATGACAACCCACCAGAACCATATGTGAAGAAGTAGTCTTTTATAAGAAAAGTGGGTACTAGACAAAAAAAACCCAAGTCATGTCTACAGTAAAAAAGAGTGACCCTCGAGTCCTTTCGTCCAGTCAGTGAGACTGAAAATTGGAAAAGGTTTGCTGAGTTTTCCCTTGCTTTCTATTTTCACTCCTATCTAATACAATGAGTAAAAAGTATTTAAGCCCAGTGTTTAAGCTGTCAAATATATTTTGATCTATTTAGCTTTTCTGTGAGGCTTTTCTTTCAAGTCTCATGGATTTATTTTTAAAATTTTATTTATCGATACATAATAACTGTACTTTGTTATGATGTGTACATGATACTTTGATACATGCATGAATGTGTAGTGATCAGATTTGTATATTTAGGCTATCACTTCAAACATTTATCATTTTTTGTGTTGGGGCAAACAAAATCTTTCAGCTATTTTGAAATATTCACTATATCATTGTTCGCTATTGCACTCTACTGTTCTGTCGAACACTAAGACTAACTCGGTCTTCTGTCTAACTGTGTGTACCCAGTGACCAGCCTCCCTTTATTCTCTTCTTCCCCAACCCCTTTAAAGGCTTTGGTAGCTATCGTTCTACTCTCCACCTCCATGAGATCAACTTTTTAGCTCCCACGTATGAGTAAGAACATGTGGTATTTGTCTGTCTGTGCCTGGCTTATTTTATTTAACACCAGCACCTCTAGTTTTGTATGGGTTGCTGCAAACGACAGGATTTTATTTTCTGTTTTGTAGCTGAGTAGTATCCCATTGTGTCTGTAGACCACATTTTCTTTATCCTTCCATCTGGTGATGGATCCTAGGTTGATTCTTTATCTTTGCTACCTTGACGAGGCCTGCTAGTGTCCCTCTTGTGCACTGGTTTCCTTTCCTCTGGATAGCACCTGGTGGTGGGATTGTTGGATCATACGCTGTTTTTTTTTTTTTAGAAACTTTATACTATTTCCTGTAATGACTGTACTGATTTACTTTCCTGTCAACAGTGTATGAATTCCCTTTTCTTCAAATCCCCCAGCATTTATTTTTTTGTCTTTTTGATAAAAGCCATTTTAACTAGGGTGAGCTGATACCTCATAGTGGGTTTGCATTTCCCTGATGATTAGTGATGTTGAGCAATATTTCAAATACCTGTTGACCTTTTGTATTTCCCCCTTTTTAATGGGATTATTTTTGTTTTGTTTTTTTGGTTTGCTGTTGAATTTTTTGAGTTCCTTGTATTTTTCTGGATATTAGTCCCTTGTCATATTTATAGTTTGCAGATATTTTCTCCCATTCACCAGGTTGCCTCTTCATGGTGCTATTTTTTTTCCTTTGTGGTGGTGAGCTTTTTGGTTTAAGATAATTCCATTTGTCTTGTGTTTGTTGCCTGTGCTTCTGAGGTCTTATACCATAAAATCTTTTCCTAGCTCAATGTTCATCTATGTTTTCTTCTAGAAGTTTTATAGTTTTGGGTCTTACATTTAAGGTTTTAACTCATCTTGAATTGGTTTTTGTATATGGTGAGAGATAGTGGTTTAGTTTCATTACTCTGCATATCCAGTTTATTCAGCATCATTTATTGAAGAGATATCCTTTCCTCAGTGTATGTGTTTGGTGCCTTTGTTTAAAATCTGCTGACTGAGCCAGGCTCGGTGGCTCAGCCTGAAATCCCTGCGCCTTTGGGAGGCTGAGGTGAGTGAATTGCCTGAGCCCGCGGGTTCGAGACCCGCCTGGGCAGGCGAAACCTCGTCTCTACAATAAATCAAAAAAATTAGCCAGGCGTGGTAGCGTGCGCCTGTAATTCCAGCTACTCGGAGGGCTGAGGCGGAAGGATCACCGGAGTCCAGCAGGTCGAGGCTGCGGTGGCCAGGAGCGGCCACTGCACTCCAGTCTGGGCGACAGAGTGAGACTCCAACACACACACACACAAATCTGCTGACTGTAAATATGTGAATTTATTTCTGATATTTTCTTGTTTTATTAGTTTGTGTATCTGTTTTCATACCACTACCATGTGTTTTGGTTACTATAGCTACGTAGTATATTTTGAAGTCAAGTAGTCTGATGTCTCTAGCTTTGTTCCTTTTGCTCAGTATTACTATGGCTATCCAGGCTCTTTTGTGGCTCCATACACATTGTAGGACTGTTTTTTCTATTTCTATGAAGAATGTCATTGGTATTTTGATAGGGATTGCATTGAATCTGTAGGTCACTTTGGGTGGTATTATCATTTTAACAATATTAATATTCTGATCCATGAGCATGGAATAGCTTTCTGTTTGTGTCCTCCTCAATTTCATTCTTCAGTGTTTTATAGTTTTCCTTGACAAAATCTTTCACCTCTTTGGTTATATTTGTTTCTAGGTATTTTATGTTTTTGGTAGCTATTGTAAATGGGATTGCCTACTTAATTTCTTTTTCCTCTACTTCGTTTTTGATATATAGAAACACTACTGATTGTTATATATTAATTTTGTATCTTGCTTCTTTACCAAATTTGGTTATTAGTTCTAAGAGTTTTGGGGTGGAATCTGTATGATTTTCTGTATATAAGATCACGTTATCTGCAAAGTGGGATGATTTAACTTCCGCTTTTTCAGTTTGGATGCCTTTATTTTTTTTCTCTTGCATGATTGCTGTTACTAGGATTTCCCATATTATGTTGCACAGGAGTGGTGAGTGGGTATCCTTGTTGTGTTCCAGTTCTTAGAGAAGAGGCTTTCAGTTTTTCCTTGTTCAGTTGTTGACTGTGGGCTTATAATATACAGATTTTATTACAATGAGGTATGTTCTTTCTATGCCTAAGTTTTAAAGAGTATTTATCATGAGGGGAGTTTTATCAAATGCATTTTCTGCATCTGTTGCGATGATTATATGTTTTTTGTCTTTCATTCTGTTGGTGTGATATTGCATGCTAATTGATTTGTTTATGTTGAAGCGCCCTCTGCTATGCTTTAAAATCTGCTTTTCTTTAAAATTTCTGTAGACTCTTTTACCAAATGTTAAATGAGTTTAATGTTAAATAGCTCATTATAACAACTGGCAATGAGAACAAAACCCAAGTCTGCTTACTACTGTTTTGTATATACATAATTAACATGTTTGCTTGATTCTTTCTCATAGGGCTTTATTTACGGTGTGTGTATGCAATTCTTTTTTTAATATTGCCAATCAATATTTTGCTGACGCAGGCTGGTGTATCCAAACTAAATGAAGCTAAAGCTCTCGTGGATGAGTTGAACAGAAAAGCTGCGGAACAAAGTGTCTTACTTAAAACCAAGCAAGGTGAAGCAGATGCTGCCCTTCAAGAGATCACAGTATCAATGCAGGTGAGTTAAGAGAAAGCACAATGCAAATAGTAGGGAGGGCATTTATGTCTGCTTGGCAGTCGGCGGGAAAGGTAACATTTTCCCTTAGGTAGATTTAAAACGATTGCCCGTCCAAGGTGGATTGTGCTGAGAGAGTTGTGGGCTTGAGCAGGTGTGGAGAACACGGTGTTTTCCCACATTGTTGAGAACTGTAATTCAGACTTCCTGGTTGACTACATGTTGATTTCTCCAATCCTGTGTATATATATATATATATATTTTTTTTTTTTTGAGTTGGAATCTCACTCTGTTGCCCAGACTGGAGTGCCGCGGCACACTTCCGGCCACCGCAGCCTCGACCTACTGGGCTCTGGCGATCCTTCCGCTCAGCCTTCCAAGTAGCTGGAACTACAGGCGCACGCTCCCACGCCCAGCTGATTTTTTGATTTATTGTAGAGATGAGGTCTCGCCAAATTGCCCAGGCGGGTCTCGAACCCGCGGTCTCAGGCAATCCACTCACCTTGGCCTCCCATAGCGCGGGATTACAGGCTGAGCCTCTGAGCCCGGCCCCTGTTTATATTTTAAATTGGTGTGGCTCTGTCTGTAACTGATTTTCTTTGTATTCTCTGCTAGTTAAGGTGGTTTTTCCTTTCATTTTTCTTAAAATTCTCTTCTTCAGACCTTGAGAATTTTCTCTGCTTTAATATTCTCAAGATTTATAAAATGTCTGTATTGATTCTATTAAGACATCCATGATATTTTATTTTTGATCACATTTCTGTTTAGCCATTGTCTTTCTCATGTTGAACTTTTCCAAGATGGTGTCTCCGGGTTCTTTCTTTGCCAGTTGTTTGTTCACATCTCGATGCTCTCAGGATGCTCTTGTCCATCACGTTGCTTTGTGCTGCCAACTACGTGTGACTATTTGCAAACCCGTCTTTTTCATCCAACAGCCCTAACTCCTTCTTGAGAGTCAGACCCAAATGTTCAATTATCTGTTGCACATGTCTTTTTGGAAGTCCCATGGGCTTTACGATCTGAAATAGTTCCAAAACTGAACTCATTTATCTCTTTCCTCAGGCTATAGCACTACAATATAGCCAACAATACAAAACAGAACTTATAAATCATATTGTTCCCTCATCCTTTACATGGAATGAGTCATTAAATTCTGCCAGTTTTACCTTCTTTTCAAAAGTTTGTCGGTTTCTTAGCTTTTTTTTTTTTTTTTGGAGTTGGAGTCTCACTCTGTTGCCCAGACTGGAGTGCAGTGGCACACTCCCGGCCACTGCAGCCTCGACCTGTTGGGCTCCGGCAATCCTTTTGCCTTACCCTTCCAAGTAACCAGAACTACAGGTGTGCACTACCATGCCCGGCTAATTTTTGATTTATTGTAGAGACAAGGTCTCTCCAATTTCCCCGGGTGAGTCTCGAACCTGTGGGCTCAGGCAATTCACTCGCCTCGGCCTCCCAAAGTGCTGGGATTACGGGATTGCTTGGTGAAATGGTTAACATAAGGTTCTCACCAAATTCAACATTTGTTAACCATGTCACCAAGCAATCCCACTTTTGGGTTTTCAACTAAGAGAAATGAAAACAACTTGTGAATATAACCAGACACAAAAATAGACACAAAAAAATACGATGTTATTTCCTTTGTGTGAAATTATACCAACAGCCAGACTTAAATGATAGAAATCAGATGAGTGATTATCTGACCTGATAAGTAATACATCAGATATGTAATAATTTTCATACTATAAAACTTTAGCATAGTTTTTTTTCAAGACATCTTGGAACCAAGTTAATATAAATATTTAAAGCTTCCAGTCAATTCCATTGCTAAAAATATCTGTCAATTACTTTTTACTTTAAAAGAGTAATTTGAAATATGAAAAAAGTAAAAACTACATAACTGTTGATAATTGTGGTGTATAAAAGGAAAATATTCAGTATGATGTATGCCTGTGTACTCTTAGGCTGATTCATATTAGTAATTTACATTCAGTACTTAGCTACTTTTTTCCCTGAAGTGTTCTGAGAAGGAATGTTTCTAAGAATGCAGTGAATTGTATTACCTAGCACAGACCCAAAAGGAGAAGACTGTGTATGTCATAAGTTAATAATGTTGCTTAATTATAAATAGTAGATACTTCTGTTTGGTATTTCTTTTAAAAGTACTGTGTAGGGATAGATTGAATACCACCTGTGCAATGGCTAAACCTGTAATTCTAGCTTGTGGCATAAGTAAAGTACAAATTAAGTGCTGTAAAAACTCAGAGTAGAGACACCTTCCATTTGGAAGAGGCTGGTAAAAGAAGGAAAACGTGAGCTGTACTTGGGTTTTTTCAAGTGTTCAATGTGTATTATTATCATTTTAAAGTTATGAATTTCTGACTTTCTTAAACTTTATATAACAAGCATTGATTGCTTTGGTAAGTAGAAAAAAATTAAATAAAGCATAGATAACTTGTTAATAGAAAACATTAGAGTAAAATATGTTAGTAGTTTTCCAGGCATTTTGGAAGCTCTCATGTCCTAGATTTAAAATTAATATTGGAAAAACTTTTAATTAAAAATTGTTAATGTATCATGCTTTTAAGTATTGAATACCTTAAAATTGATTGGGATGCCACTTAAACATTCCTACAGGATGCTAGTGAGCAAAAAACAGAACTTGAAAGACTGAAGCACAAAATAGCAGAAGAAGTTGTTAAAATTGAAGAAAGAAAAAATAAAATTGATGATGAATTAAAAGAAGTACAGGTAAGTCAAAAAAAATTCTGAGACCCATTTATATATGTATATTTTTACCAGTTGTGTATAGGAGTTTAAACATTATTTGTGGCTCAAGTTATTTTCTAATAGTATTGTAAAATGTGGCTTTCAACCAGAATATTACTTCTAAAAGAGAAGCTGGAACGAAAGACTGCAGGGAAAGTAAGTGAATTAACAGATTAAAAATAATTTCTATTTTCCATGAGCCATGTTGTTTTAATTGTAGGGGGGGAAATGTGTTAGATAAATTAAGGCACACTTTTAAGATCCTTCCTCCAGAGTTGACTAAATTAGCCAACTAGTCCTTGAAAATGGTCATTTGTCTCAAAACTTACTAGATTTCCTAGAAATAGATCATTGCAGTTGTGGTGGCAAGAGTGTTTACTTTCTCAACTTGAACACTTTTTGTTTTGTATGATTTAAAGATTTCAATATTTTTAGGAGAGAAAATGCTAATAACTATAGTCACTTTAAATAAAATAATAATAAATATTAGATAATTTGTAAAGAGTCAATGATTTTTAAAAAATATATAATTTAAAAGTAAAAAAAATGACCTTTTTTGTCTTTTAGCCTTTAGTCAATGAAGCAAAACTAGCCGTTGGAAACATTAAACCAGAGTCTCTTTCAGAAATTCGCTCACTACGCATGCCACCTGATATAATCAGAGACATTCTGGAAGGAGTTTTAAGGTTGATGGGTATCTTTGATACATCTTGGGTGAGCATGAAAAGGTACGTTTTGAATTTGTGAAAAATGTTATTATTTCAACAATGAATGACACATTTTTTCATAGTTTTTAATATTTCTGATATTGGGCTTTATCTAAATAAATACATGGTTGTACATTTTCCTTGAAGTTTCAAGATATTCTGTGTAATCATATATCAAGATCTATATATTTCTTTCTTCCTCCCTAAGTGACTGTTAAAAGTGTCATAGAGGAGAAAAGGAATGCCTTGGAATTTTTAACAATGTCTCAATAAATTTAATAATATATTTGGACCTTACATAGTAGAGAGCACTGTGATTTTACTGTGATTTACTGATGAAGAAAGTAGCCATTATTATCTACGAGTTTTGTACTTTGGGGCCTGGAGAAAGAAAGAAAGAGACAGACACACACAAAGACACAGAGATAAGGAGACAGAGAGACCTAGAGACACAGGGAGGAAGGCAGATACACAGAGACAGAGAGGGAGACAGAGAGACATGGAGACACAAAGAAGGAGACAGAGACACAGAGAGAGGGAGACCCATGGAACCAGGCAGCTTCAGGTTCACATGATAATAGTGGGCTTAAGTTTTGTGCTGCTGTTAAGGTTCTAGTTAGGATTTGGGGGTTAGTTGTGAGTTTCTTTTGTAGCTGGAGATGGAGGAGGATGTTTAGGCTGAGAGAGCTCTTTAAAGGACCTCAGAAGGAGTCGGGAAATTTCCTTGCCTACTCTAGAGCGTGTGAATACACCATAGTTCACAAACAGGGATTTGAGCAGACCCAGATTGAGATTTTCTCATTCCCCTCTTGCTATAGTTTCTTCACAGAGCATTAGAGAGACTGTTGCATCTTTTTAGAGTTTGACTTTGTTGTCTGTGAAAAATGATGGATAATACATTAGAAGCTTAAATTTTTTAATGCTTGAATTTTTGTTAACTGATAGATTAGCAGCACTGTATACATTGTTTTGTTAAATTGATATTTTTTCAGAAGTAGCAAGTTTTATTTAACCTCACTTAAAGTAATATGCTCAAATTTCAGTTTCCTTGCAAAAAGGGGTGTAAGAGAAGACATAGCAACCTTTGATGCACGAAATATTCCAAAGGAAATAAGGGAGAGTGTTGAAGAACTTCTTTTTAAAAATAAAGCATCTTTTGATCCAAAGGTAATTTTTAACAATTATGGCATAAAGGCTCTTTTCTATACTATATAATACTCTTCTTTTTAAAATGGGATGCCTTGTCTATCAATTGTTAGGCCCTAAAAACTAAAAATGTTAAAAAGTCAGCTTACAGGTGTTGTATAGTTGAGAAGCATTCCCAGCATGATTAGGTAAATTAGAATTCAGGAGCAGGGGGAGATTTATTATCATAAGTGGTTTTTGAATCTTAATGTCTGCTGTCAATGTTAAGTACCCAACTTATCTTTTTTTTTTTTGAGTCAGAGTCTCACTCCATTACCCAGGCTAGAGTGCAGTGGCACGCTCACAGCCACCCCAGCATTGACTTGCTGGGCTCCTTCCTCCTCACCCTTCCGAGTAGCTGGAACTACAGGTGTGTGCTACCCCGCCTGGCTAATTTTTTATTTATTATAGAAACGAGGTCTCACCAAGTTGCCCAGGCTGTTCTCAAACCCGTGGGCTCAGGCAGTCTACTCGCCTTGGCCTCCCAAAGTGTGCTGTGATTACAGGCTTGAGCCACTGTGCCTGGCCTTTTTACTTTCCTAGTATGCTTTTTTTTTTTTTTCCTATATTCTTGTTATATAATAATAGATATCCGTGTTAGGATATTTGTATCTTATTTTAGTGAACACTTTAAATTTCATGATTGTGGTATTTTTTAAACATCCCTTATTCAAAATGTTGTGTACATTTTCTTTGACACTAATTACAATGTTTTTGAAATTACTCTTATAAAGATGTATAGAAGAAAAAGAATTGCTGCTTGAACATTGTTGTGGATGGCACATGTGTTCATCATAAATGTGATTAATAGAGTAGTCATGTCGATAAATCATCTTTATTTTAAAGATTCTATGTGGTTTAAAAAGATTTATTTTTAAGTAAGAAGTAGAGTTCATGTATACTTCACTCAACCAAAATAGCAGTTCACTGCGTTTTTGTTTTAGCTGCACACCCAAAACTTCATTATTTTGGTCTAGTTACTAAATACATGCTCAAATAAAATGTATTAGAATTAACTTGCTTTTATTTGAAGTGAGGTCAGAATGCTGGATAACTCCTGCTGGTTCTTTCAGAATGCCAAGCGTGCCAGTATTGCAGCTGCACCTTTGGCCGCTTGGGTTAAAGCCAATGTCCAGTATTCCCATGTCTTGGAACGAATTCAGCCTCTGGAAACTGAACAAGCAGGCTTAGAATCGTAAGTGAACCACACAACATTAACAATTCTAGCCTTTATTTATTTTCATCAATTTGATGAGGTGGTTATATTACTAGTATTTATTTATTGCCCTGTTCTAAAAAGGCAGCTAATGATATTAAAACATATCAAATGAGTCAATTAAATGCAAATTAAACATTAAGTAGATTTTAAAAAGTCATGAGAAGGAGATGGGTAGCACAACCAACTCATTTTTCTTTACCATTATGGTTTGCTGGAAGAATAAGTCAGTAGAAGTTCCTTTAGAAAGAGCCTGAGATTTGTGAGCAATCACATGAAAGTACAAAAAGCATGTTTTGGAAATTTAGGGCTCTCATATTTGTTTACACCTTCTGAGTCCCAAGAAGGATTTAGGATATGTTTTAAAATATTGTCAGGCAGGTAGGGGAAGATTTAAACTTCTACTGTTGGAGACTAAAGTTTCAATTTGTTATCATTACCAGGTCAGCATTATGTACGTATTATCACTTTTGCTCTAAATGCAGTCCAAGAGGTTTGTTAAGTGCTTTATTGTTTGATTTTTGACATTGCCTACTAATTTCCTCTGTAGGAAAATGTATTTATCTTATTTCCTTTCCTTTCTTGTATGCTTTTTTGCTATTCGAAATAGTAATAATAACTGCCTCGTTTTTTCATTTGATTTTTTTGTTTGTTTACATGTTACAAATCTATCCACAGTCCCTGGCAGAACCCTAAAACATATTCACTAACCTTTATGTTCTATTTTTAAAAATGTTTTTAGCATTATTCTTCCTAGAACCTTTTGTTCTGGGTTAGTTCTTCCTTTGGCCTGCTATTGTCTTAGGATTTCTGTTCACCGTTGTTCTGGGTATTACCTTTGTCTCTTTGCTTTTTATTATGAATTCCTTTCTCTTTCTTAGTTTAGTTTCTCAGTTTTTAGCAACACATCCTTCACAGTAGCTTCCTAAGAAAGAGTGTCTGGAATGGAAACTATTTTGAATCCTGTGTGTCTAAAATATCCATATTATACTATCATATATGACCAATAACTGGGCTGTATTTAGAATACTAAGCTAAAGACTGGGCACAATCGGTGGCTCAGCCTGTAATCCCAGCACTTTGGGAGGCTGAGGCAAGTAGATTGCCTGAGCCTGCAGGTTTGAGACCTGCCTGGGCAGCTTGGCGACACCTCGTCTCTACAATAAAATCAAAAATTAGCTGGGCGCGGTAGTGTGTGCCTGTAGTTCCGGCTACTTGGAAGGCTGAGGTGGAAGAATTGCTGGAGCCCAGCTGGTCGATGGTGGGGTGACTATGAGTATGCCACTGCACTCCAGCCTGGGCGATAGAGTGAGATGCTAACTTAAAAAAAAAAAAGAATACTGAGCTAGAAATAGTTTTGGTACACAGTTTTGAAGGCCTTATTCTGTTGCAGTGATTCTCAGAATTTGGTCCCTGGACCAGCGGCAGCATTATCATCACCTTGAAACTTGTTAAAGTTCAGACTTTTGAACTCCACCCAGACTTACTGACTCAGAGTCAGCTATGGGGGTCTTGGGGGGCCAAGACCTTGAAGTCTGTGTTTTGACAACCCCTCCAGGTGATTTTGGTACACCTGAATTTTAGAACCCCTGCTCTGCCCTCTTATAGAGTTGTGTTGCTCCTGAAAAGTCGAGTGCTGTATTGATTCCCAGTGTTTTGTATGTTACTCATTTTTTTTTCCTCTTTAGAAGTGTTTAGGGTCTTTGTTTCTGGCATTGTGAAATTTTACAAATCTTTATGATGGGTACTCATTGTCCACTTTGTTTAGAAATTCATGTGTGTCAATTATGGGAAAGTTTATTGCATTATTCCTTAGATAATCTCCTTCTGTACCTCTGTATTATTTGGAATAATTTTGGCTGTGGATTAGTAAAATTGCTATTCAAAATCCCTTTAGAAATAAAGCAGTGTATTCCAAACAGCAAGTCCCAAAGTTGGTTGGTTCCAGGATGATTAATTTTGTACCTCTTTCTTTACTTCTGACATTCTCAATTTTTCTGTAAGTTAACAAGATGGACACAAGATGGCTGCTTAAGTTTTATTTAGACAAAAACAATATGTAGTTGAAAGAAAGGATGATTTCTTTTCTATGAACCTTTTTTAAAGGATGCACCTCTTTTTAAAAACAAGGAAATCTTTCTGAGAAAACTCCCAGCATATATTCCCTCACCTTGCTTTTTACTTACTTGTCATGGTTAGAACAGTCAGTATCTGCCTGGCCTAGGTGAGGGAGTGGTGCATACCAGAACAAATCTGAGGATGTAGCGTATCCTAAAAAAAGAAAATGGTTCTGCGTAAGCATATGGAAATGTTACCTTCATTTTCTTTATCTGGAACTTGTGTTAGTCTTTTATTAGAATGATTGGACTAATCTTCCGATATATTCTTATATCTTCTCAAATAATTTCAGGACTCTGCTACCAATGACAGTACCTTTCTGCAAAATGAAAAAGGTATCCCTCTGGAAAGAAATGCCAAGTGTTTATGCAATTCACAAGTACCTAGCATTGCACAGCAGCCCTGCTTAGTTTCTGTGTCTTTTGTCTTTTGTTTTAATTTCTCAGATATATTTTCCTACCATTATAATATTTTATTTATCTTTATTTGCTTATTTTTTCCTTATTTTTAAGACAGTGTCTCACTCTGTTGCCCAGGCTGGAGTGCAGTGACCCTGTCATAGCCCACTGCATCCTCCAGGGCTCAGGTGATCCTTCCTCCTAAGCCTCTCAAATAGCTGGGACTAGAGGTATGTACCCCCATGCCTAGCTAATTTAAAAATTTTTTTTTTTTTTGTAGAGATGGGCCTCGCCATGTTGTCCAGACTGGTTTCGAAGTGCTGGCCTCAAGTGAATCCTCTGCCTTGTTCTTCCAAGGTTCTGGGATAACAGGCATGAGTCAGTGCACCTGACCCTGTTTTTGCTATTATACTTGTAATTTCCACAGTTCCATTATTTTATTGAATTTTATGTTTTTTAAAAAATAGCATTGGCCAGCACTTTGGGAGACTGAGACAAGGTGAGAGGATTGCTGGAGTCCAGGGGTTTGAGACAAGCTGGACAACATAGTGAGACCTCATCTCTACAAACAAACAAAAAGAATTAGCGAGGCCTGGTAGTGTGTGCCTGTAGTCCCTGCCACTCAGAAGGCTGAGGCGGAAGGACCACCTGAGTCCTGGAGGTTGAGGCTGCAGTGAGTCATGATTGTGCCTCTGAGCCATGGTTGTGCCACTGCACTCTAGCACTCAGAGTGCGACCCCTACTAAAAAAAAAATAGTATCATCTTGCTTCTTACATAAAATGTGTTTTCTATCTCCCTGAGGGTAGCCTTAAATTTTGCTTTTGTTCCTGGCCTTGATGATTCTCTTTTGTTTCCCCTTCCGGATTTATTTGTTTTGGTCTATTTCAGGTTAGGAAGTGTTCTTGACCTTTCTGGTCCCTGGTTGTCTGTTAGGAATTCATTGTGAAGTGTTGGAAATCGGGCTGGAAACTCTGTGCGTGTGGCCTGAGTTCCTTGGCTGCTAAGCTTTACTGTAGGCGTCCAAGAGTGGGCATGGCCATTTGATGGGAACCCTTAACATTTGTAGCATTTTTAGGGAGAGCTGGTCAGTCCTTTTTCTCTAAAAGAATTCTTGCATCTTTTGCATAGGCTGTGGGTGGGGAAGACGTAAGCTAGACTCCCTGCGTTCTGGGTTGGGTAGTTCATTGCAGTGGAGTAGGCACTCTGAGATCAACTCTGTGGTATCAGCTCTTCAACAAGTCTCCATATTTAGCTTTATTGCTGCCTTCCGCGGTACCTGTTGCCTGTATTTCCTGTGTATTTTGGAATTCTGCTGCTTTTGGCTCCTTTTCCTGCTGGCATTTAGCCTTGGCCTTTGTGTTCTGGTATGTCAGTTGTTACTTTTCAAAATTTTATTTAATTTCTCCTTTATCATATTTTTTCCTTCTTCTCTTTGTCTTTCTATGTATGTTATCTTTTTTATTCCCTTGTTTTCATTTTAGTAGGGTTTTAGAAAGGCTAAAAGGCAATTGAATATGTGTAGTTCAGCATTTATTATCCAGAAATCTACATGTACAATTTTTTTTTTTTTTAAATATGGATTCCTAGAAGTGGTATAGTTGGGTCAAAGAATACACTTTTAATTTTAGCATTGCTTTTCAAATTGAATTCTAGGCAAAGGTGTTATAGTATGGAATTACTGATGTGTTGATTGTCATATATTTATGCAAGTATACAATTTAAAGTGCTACTACTGCTGTTTGTTGATATCTGAAATGGAATGACTTTTATGATGTTGAGTTATATTTTAGGAATTTGAAAAAAACTGAAGACAGAAAAAGGAAACTAGAGGAGCTTCTTAATTCTGTTGGTCAAAGGGTATCAGAACTCAAAGAAAAGTAAGTTAAGTTTTGAAATGTATTTTGGATATTTGAAACATACACCTAAATTTATTTTGAATTTTGAAAACCTTAGTTGTAGTCAATATTGTAACATCTTTTTATAATTTATGACCCTAAATTTGGGAAAAGTATAAGATAATATAGAGGGTGCTCATTTTTAAAGAACATTTTTGATAAAAATAAAAATCTTTTAAGTCCCCATTTGTATAGCAATCACTATACATATTTTCGAACACTGGTGAGAAAATTGAGCAAAAATAATTTAATGTAATGAATTAATGCTAGGAGTGTTTACATTTGATAGTTTGGTTTTTCTTATTTGACTTTAAGATTTAAGACTGTTGTGTCAGATGATTCTATGGAACCACTTATTCTATAACTTTTTAAAGAGTATATTATCATGTTAAAAAATGTCTTCTCCTTTAACTTTTCTCTGCTTGATGTCAGAAATCAAATTTCTTAATGCAAATATTATACTCAAGGATCGTTTATGAGTATGACTAGTCTTTTTCTTTTTGAGAGCAGGATTTCTTGAGAGAACAGAAAATCTCCCACAGTGGGAGGGGACCCAAAAGGGTTACTTACCCATGATTAGCCTTAAATGTATCTCTAGGTACTTGCTATTTAGCTAATTCTCAAATATTATCGAGTAATTAGCATATTCTAGTAATGATTTGACTCCATTTATTGGTCACTTGTGTTAGGTGTTATACTGGGCACTTTATATGTTTATCTCTTTAATCCTTAAGACAATAATGAGAGGGAAATATTATTCTTTTGGCAGATTAGAAAGCATAAAATTAGACAGCATAAAATTGCCTAAAGTTGTACAGCTAGTCAATAACTAAGCCAAGTTAGATTTGTCTAATTCCATAAAGTTTCTGTTCTTAGCCACCACAGCATAGTTTGGGAGGATTACTATAAGAACTTTTGGAAGTAGCTTTTAATTTTAAGTAAAACAGTGGCATTTTCCATTACATAGCCATTTTTGAGAATGAATTATTATTGGTCACCATGCTGCTACTTGTCATGTTCCTTCATTAATGTTTGCTTGACTTTAGGCTGTGAGTCTTATTTTCTTGTGTCTAACAAAGAATAGGGGAATTGAAAAATAGGCATTATCTATCAATTTTTAAATTCAAAGTTGATAAAGTTAAGGAGATGTTTGCCATTTGTAATATAAGCTGTACAGAAATATGCACTGATTTAATTCAACAAATATCTACCGCAAAAGTATGTTCTACCTTGAGTTCATAGGATGCAGCTTGTGTTTCTAGGTCCTAGAGCTGAACATTCAGCGGAACTTCCTGAGAGGATCAAAGTGTTCTGTGATCTGCGCTGTCCCGTGCGGTGGCCAAGAGCCACACGTGGCTGCTGAGCACTTGCAGTGTGTGTGGGATGACCGAGGGGCTGAACTTTACCTTCTGTTTATCTTGAGTTAAATAACCAGAAAGTGGCTGGTGGCTGCCATTCTGGACAGCTCATTTCCAGAGTCTGACATTGAGGGGACGGCGAAAGGAGGCCCTTAGAGATGCAGTGAAATACGCTATAAAGTACTTGAGACTTAATGCCAGGCACAGCTGTGTATGACTTTTAGACCCCTACTCATTATTGGTGTGACCTTGTACAGTAATCTCTTGAGATCTAAGTTTCCATACTTATAGCATAAGATTTATGATACTTATTTTGAACTGCTGTTTTGAGATTTAAATGGCATGCTGTTTTTTGGATGCTTGGCACAGTCCTGGGCATAGTATAAGCACTTCCATATTTGTTGAATGACTGAGTCATATGTGTAGAGTGTTACTATTTTATTTAATAAAATAATAAAATTGTACATGTATTTTCGAAGGAAAATAATTTTAAAAGAGAGTTACAGACTTTGGTGAATGAACATATAGGGAGATGTATAAAATAAACTATCTTTGAGGTGAATTTTGAAATTCGATTTATATTTTTGGTGGTAGATGTTTGAGGAGGTTGGACTGTGGCTTGGGGGGGCGGTTAAGAAAGTATTTGGCAAATGGAACACCCGAAAAACACAGCAGATAAAGAATAGGATATTTACTACCAGTGTAATTCTTCTGATGTTGGCCTATAGTTTTGCTGGACTGGAATAGGATCAAATAAAACTAGAAAGATAGATGGGAAGCCAGTCTTGGTGGCTCAGCCTGTAATCCCGTGCCTTGGGAGGCTGAGGTGAGTGAATTGCCTGAGCCCACGGGTCTGAGACCCACCTGGGCAACTTGGTGAGACCTCATCTCTACAATAAATGAAAAAATTAGCTGGGCATGGTAGCACACACCTGTAGTTCCAGCTGCTTGGAAGGCTGAGGTGGAAGGATGGCTGGAGCCCAGCAGGTCGAGGCTGTGGTGGCCGGGAGCGGCCACTGCAGTCCAGTCTGGGTGACGGAGTGAGACTCAACTCAAAAAAACAAAAAGAAAAGAACAATAGATGGGATCAAGCTAAGGACAGGGCCTTGAATACCAAATTTGCAAATAATGTCGTAGGGCATAGAGGCCCTGTCAAGTTTGCTGAGGAATGGAATGCTACAATTTAAATGTATATCCTGATATATTTTTCTATTCTATTATTGATATTTTACACATGAATATTATCAGTTTTATCATTAATTAAATTCTGGCATAAAAGTTTACATTATTACATAATGGTAATTTTATTAAATCTCAATTAAGTCCCTTTTGCTTTTAATCAAAATTTAATGTTTTCATAGATTCCAGAGCAGGACTTCAGAAGCTGCCAAACTTGAAGCTGAAGTCAGCAAAGCACAAGAAACAATCAAAGCTGCAGAAGTCTTAATCAATCAGCTTGATAGGGAGCACAAGAGGTGGAATGCACAGGTTTGTTTGAGGAGGAATCATAAGGAATCTTCCTGTAAATCACAGTAAACCTGTAATGTAATGCACTTATTAAAAAGTGGAGAAAAATTTTTGAATTTACAAATGATCTAGATATAAATACTTATTACGTGAATTAATCTTTAAACAGAGTATCTCTATACAAATGGGTGTTAGGCAAAACAGCGTCTTCGTCTTTTAGTTCCCCGTGTTATTGAGAGGAAGGGCAGGGCAAAAATGAGTTGATGGAAAACTTAGTATTCCGTAGTGACTTTTTAAAAATTTGCCTTTACCAGAACCATAATTTCAGGATTTGACATTGTTAGCTATTTATTTTTTTCTTGAAACACATTATTTTTGACTTTGTTAGTCTTGCATTTTGCTTTTTTCTTTCTTTGTTTCTTTATATTTACTTGTTTATTTTTTTGAGCAGGAGTCTCATTCTGGCTCCCAGTCTGGAGGAGTGTAGTGGCACAATCACAGCTCACGAGAGCCTCAGCCTCCTGGGCTCAGGCCATCTTTTTGCTTCAGCCTCCTGACTAGCCGGAACTATAGGCATGCACTACTACGCCCAGCAAATTTTTTTTATTTTGGATGGGGTTGCACGGTGTTGTCCAGGATGGTCTTGAACTCCCGGGCTCAAGCAGTCCTCCTGCCGTGGCCTCCTGACGTGCTAGGATTACAGGCATAAAACACTGCACCCAGCTGTTGGTTTCTTTAATCAGATTCCTTTCCTCACTTGATCCTCCTCTCCGGTTCACCCAGTGACATTGATTGTTCTTGTTACTCCCTTCCTCAGCAACATTTTTGCAGCTATCTTGGTGTTACTTCATCTATTCTTTTTAATTTTTTTTTTATTTTAAAAATATGGAGCTGGGCTCGGTGGCTTAGCCTGTAATCCCGCGCCTTTGGGAGACTGAGGTGAGTGGATTGCCTGAGCCCGCGGGTTCGAGACCTGCCTGGGCAGCGAGACCTCATCTCTACAATAGATCAAAAAACCAGCCGGGCGTGGTAGCGCACGCCTGTAATTCCGGCTACTTGGAAGGCTGAGGCGGAAGGATCGCCAGAGCCCGGCAGGTCGAGACTGCTGATTCTACTGGTACATTCAAAGCAAGGGGTTATTACTTTAAAGCAATATATGAAATTTTTTCCCTCAGTCAGAACTATAATGCTATCATTTTCTTTCATGTTTGAACATATTCATACACGTCCCTGTTTCTCCCTCTTTTTTCCAGGTTGCAGAGATAACAGAGGAATTAGCAACTCTTCCTAAAAGAGCTCAACTTGCTGCTGCGTTTATTACCTATCTTTCTGCTGCGTCTGAGTCGCTGAGAAAGACGTGTTTGGAGGAGTGGACCAAGTCAGCTGGTCTTGAAAGTTTGTATTGGGTTACTCATGAACTTGACATTGAAATTTGGTAATACGCCTTTGGACTTCTGCTTTTTTTCAGTGGGAGCTTTTTTTGTAGGTTAAAAAACTACCAAAGCTACTTTCAAACTTGCTGAATTCTGCAGATGTTCTGGGAATTGTTTTGTTATTATGATTCTTTTAGTTTTAAATGAGTGTAAAAACTGAGTTGCTTTGATATTGCATGAATGTAGTTAAACATGATATTACTTTTATTTTTTACAATAATTTTATATCATGAGATGTTGAAACTTCAAAACTTCTTGTGATGTTAGTGATTTCCATAAAATTATTTATAATTGTGAAACATTCACTCAACAAAAGAAATGATTTAACTGAGTCTCATTCCCTTGCATTTTTTCTTTTCTTTTTTTTAAGCTTTCTTCCTCTTGAGTTTGGGTACTAAGTGGAAGACTGGACTTCAAAATAAGTTTGTCATAGGACTTTTATTTCAGTATCGTTTGAATGATTTATTCTCGTCCCCTCATCAAGTACAAGAGGCAGTGAAGTATTATGAATATTTTTAACGTTTCAGGATTTGATCTGAGGAGATTTCTTTGTACTGAAAGTGAACAGTTAATTTGGAAAAGTGAAGGCCTACCATCAGATGATCTTTCTATAGAAAATGCTCTCGTTATCTTACAGGTAATTAGTTTATTTTAATTTTCTTATTAAAATTGTTTTCAGGCATGTTGCAGGAATTGTATTCTTCACCTTTTTATTCTCTCCCAGTAATCCTTTTTTCAATTACATAAAAGTGAAACTGTTTTGCTAATGAAAATACATTTATGATTCAGTTCATGAATATAAAATTTTCAGCATAATTTATTTTTAATTTTAATATGAAAGTACAATAGTGGCATTATTTTGATGGCAAAATGTTCTAAATTAAACTTCCTAATAGTAATAGAAATATTTTAGGGATACCTGATTGATTTGGTTGTATAGTTTTCTTCGTCTAGAGTCTATGACTTCATAAACTGTAGTTTTATCTTATTTTGCCAAATAAAATTATACATAGTAAATCTTTGGGTTAGAGATGCTGATGTGCATCACATTTCAGAAAATTATTCTTTTACATCGTGTATATTTTCCAGAAGTCATTGTTTAAAGTTGAAAATATCATTACTTTATTGGCAGCGAATGTGAAAACCAAATTCAATACCATGTACACAAGCAAGTCATTACTTTGAATAAAGTTTGATTTTTACCATTAATTGGGTTTTCCTTTTTGATACAAAACTTGGAAGATAATTTTCAGTCCTGGATCATACGAATTTTTTTTTGTTCTTTCTCTCAAGAGCTTCTACTTCATAATGTTAGCATTCTCTCTGCTCTCCCCGCCTCATACAGTTTGCTTATTCTACAACTAAAGAGGCTTGAAAAATGGATGAGCATTAGCTGCTGCTTTTTAAGTAGCATAAGCTGTATTATTTCTTATTTGTTTTGAGTTGGAGTCTCACTCTGTCACCCAGACTGGAGTGCAGAGGCCACTCCCGGCCACCGCAGCCTCAACCTGCTGGGCTCCGGCGATCCTTCCGCCTCAACCTTCCAAGTCGCTGGAACTACAGGCATGCGCTACCACACCCGGCTAATTTTTTGATTTATTGTAGAGATGAGATCTCGCCAAGTTGCCCAGTTAGGTCTCGAACCCATGGGCTCAGGCAGTCTACTCACCTCAGCCTCCCAAGGCGCAGGATTACAGGCTGAGCCACCAAGCCCGGCTATAAGCTATATTATAAGATTCATACTTTGGGTACTGTTCATTCCTGGATAATTTGTTCTGTTTTATTAGACCTGTTAATCAACAGACTACAAACATTGGCTCATTATAGTAGTGTCTTACCAGTAGAGGAGTGGTTGATCACAAAGGGAACAGTTGTGCTTTCTTTTAACTTGATTAGGCCTGGATTTTTAATTTATAATACTTTAAAAATAGTTTTTGTCATTGTTTTCACACTGGAATCACAAATCTGGAACTTTACATGTGTATGTAACTAAATTTCTTGCATTATAACAAATTTTTTTTTTTTTTTGAATTGGAGTCTCACTCTGTCGCCCAGACTGGAGTGCAGTGGCGGCTCCCGGCCACCGCAGCCTCGACCTGCTGGGCTCCGGCGATCCTTCCGCCCCAGCCTTCCATAGCTGGAACTACAGACGTGCGCTACCACGCCCGGCTGATTTTTTTTATTTATTGTAGAGATGAGGTCTTGCCAAGTTGCCCAGGCAGGTCTCAAACCCGCGGGCTCAGGCAATCCATTCACCGCAGCCTCCCAAGGCGCAGGATTACAGGCTGAGCCACGGAGCCCAGCTGCATTATAACAAATTATGTGCTTTTTATTATATTTGTTATTCCTTCCCCAGAGTTTCATCATAACTCTTTCATCCTGTTTCAGTAATCCAAGGAGGCAACTTATTGCAGATTTTTTTTAAAATGCCAGTAAAGAATCCTTTTTTTTTTCCTTAAGAAACTAGGGGAGTGCTGGGCGTGGTAACACGTGCCTAGTTTTGTCTACTTGGAAGGCTGAGGCAGAAGGAATGCCTGAGCCCAGAAAGTCAGTACTGGGGTGACTGTGAGTGAGCCACTGCACTCCAGCCTGGGTGACGAAGTGGGAACCAACTCAAAAAAAAAAAAAAAAAAGGAATCTAGGGGATAAGGCTTTAGAAAAAAATATATTTACTAGAATAGCTTTTTATTTTTTACTGATATTAATTGAAAATGCTTAATTTTGTGTTCTGAATTGCCTTTCACAGTGAATGTGGGAAAATTGTTTTTGAAAGTAATTTTAATGATAAGCTTTGATCTGCTTTGTATTTAATATTGCCAAGTTCTATTTAGATACCTACATGGACTCATGGGACAACACAAAAACCGCTGGAAAAATTTGTTAGGGTAGTATTTTGTTGAAAAGGATATGGCATTAGAGTCAACACTGCATTTCAATTCTAAGGTTGACTAGGCTTAAAATAAGTTGTAGTTAAGGGTTTGGTTGACTAGCGCATGTCTGTACCATCCACACACTAACATCACTCTGTGCTATATGTGAAATTAAATCTCTTAATCTATACTAGCTGGACGTCTGGAAAGTGTTTTCTGAGAAAAGATGACTAGGCATGATAAAGAAGATGCATTTTTGATTCAGAAAATATCAAATCTCCTCATTAACTTGGCTGAAGTTTTTCTGAGAGTCTCCCTCTCAGTGTAGGAGGCTTTTCCCGAGGCTTCTGGTCACAGTTTTATCGTTGCCAAGGAAAGACTTTTGTTAGTCTGACAAAGGTGCTTGCAATTCTCATATTTGGGTGAAGCTAACTAATTGAAGTACATGTGTTACCTTGAGTGGACATAGTCAAATCCTTATCTCCCTTTGGCCTTTAAATCAGGCTTAGTTTTGTAACCTTAACAGAAAACTCATATGACTTATGTCTCTGGGGAGCAGGGAAAAATTAGGCCACAGTGATCACATATCCTGAGTTGCTTAGGCTATGGTTTATACTTGTCCTGATGTAATTATTAATAGTTTTCCTTGCACTTTCAAAAGTATCCTGGTTTGGGTGATAAATTGTATGATCTTTTTTTTTTTGGAGTTGGAGTCTCACTCTGTCACCCAGACTGGAGTGCAATGGCCGCTCCCGGCCACCGCAGCTGCGACCTACTGGGCTCCGGCGATCCTTCCACCTCAGCCTTCCAAGTAGCCGGAATTACAGGCATGCGCTTTCACGCCCGGCTGATTTTTTGATTTATTGTAGAGATGAGGTCTCGCTGCCCAGGCAGTCTCGAACCCGTGGGCTCAGGCAATCCACTCACCTCAG